CTGCTATGTGCTAAGGAATGAAAAAATGATAGGACTTTCTTCCTAGGAACCTAGCATAGAATGCTATTTATTTTCTGCCCTCAATATCATAAAACACTCCCCTTCTAAATACTGAATCCTGGACATCTTTCTACAACTTACCTCTTCACTCCTTTAGGTTTGTGCCTGGCTGTTGCCGTGCTGTTTTTTGTTAACATTCATCACACAGCTACCTTGTCTGGCACTCTGACAGGTCCTGAGGATACAAAATGTGAATAAGAAAGTAGTGACTGCCCTCACTAGAAGTTTCTGGAGGCGTGGATTTTGGTTTTAAACCAAATTATTAAATATACATTTTCCTTAGAGAATTCCTTGCCTTAAAGGCTAGTATCGTCCTGCACCTGGATAGCATTTTATATTTTGTATTATCCACTTAGCACAACAAGCATGTGAGGGTCTGTGAAATTGAAGTCACATCATAACTCACATTTAACTTACTGAAATTAAACTAAAATGCTATTTTCCCTACCCGCCCATTCCCCCTACCGCTTCACTCTCTGAAAGAGTAGGAGCAAGAACAATTTCAGCGTAAGCTGTTCCGCCCAGTGAGTGTGCGCTCTAGAGAGAGACTCGGAAGGGGGACGAGGAAGGTGCATTTCCCTCTGGCCTTCAGTGTAAGCATCTCGTCATCACGTGTGATTCTGGTGTTTAAAAATAAGCCTTGTTCCTATGAAGTGGCTTCTAAACAAAGTCAAGTACTTTTCTGTTCCGAACTGAGAAATTTGTTCCAATCCTATAGGAGAGATTAGCTGTGTTGTACTTAGAGACAGCCAGTATGTTGATATCCAGGATGCCATGCCTTCCTTTGGGGTTTCAGAGGTAATATGGCAATCCAAGAATCCAGCTGACTTTAGACTCTTGGTCCTACAAGAGAAGTCAGAATTAGGAGGAGTCTGAACTAGTGCCTTCAAGAAGCTTATAATGTAATTGGGAGATGGAAGATGCAAATTGATCTGGGAAGATCATCTAGAAAACAAGTCACAGGAAAGGATGTAAGGAACCATGAGGATAAACAGTTGAATATTAGAATGGCCCCAGGTTCAAGCATTCTGTCCCATGGTCCCAAATAGAATCATTTTGTCAGGCAACGAGTCTGGATTTGGGGCTTAGAAAAAATCGTATCGATATCATTAGAGAGGATGTGAAAGAGTGAAGAGTTTTATCCATCAAGGTTTCTTGGAAGTATTGCATTGTGATTTGATAGGTAGCTAGCAATAGATAAAAAGCACAAAGATGTTTCAAACAGGGCAAGTGCTGTAAGCATGAAACATGGACGTGTGATTGCTCAAGCAAAACTATCTTTTCATTTGGCCAGATGATCGGGGACACATTGGAGTGTCACAGGAGATGAGAATAATAAGGAACATGACCAGTAGATTGAGAAGTTAAGATAAATTCTCTTGACCATTTTCTGTTCCTCATCCTACTCATGATCATTAACTGAGAACACTGAGACTCTTTTAGAATGCTTTCTGACCCATCTCATGGTTACATTTAAATTGTGAATTTTACTGGAAACGCCTGTTTTAAAATGATTTTTCTATCTGTAAAAATCGGATCAGATGTGACTACATGATTATTTTGTAATCCCTGTGAAAGTCAGTCTGATGTAATAGAATTTGGAAACAAGAGTCAGGAAACCAGGTCTACGGACAGCTAATCTTCGACAAAGAGCCAAGAACACACAATGGAGAAAGGAAAGCCTCTTCAATAAATGGTGCTGGGAAAACTGGACAGCCACATGCAAAAGAATGAAAGTAGATACTGTCTTTCTCCAGACGCAAAAATAGACTCAATATGGACTGAATACTTGAGGGTAAGACCTGAAGCCATAAAACTTCTGGAAGAAAATATAGGCAGTACACTCTCTGCCATCAGCCTCGGTAGGATTTTTGAAATACCATGTCTACTCGGACAAGGGAAACAAAAGAAAAAAACAAGTGGGACTTCATCAGACTGAAGAGCTTCTGGAAGGTGTAGGAAACCAGATCAAAATGAAAAAAGCAACCAACCAACTGGGAGAAAATATTTGCAAATCATATATCTGACAAGGGTGTCTCCATAATATATAAATAACTCACACAACTGAACTACAAAAAAACAAACAACGTGATCAAAAAGTGGGAAGAGGATATGAACAGCCATTTTTCCAAAGAAGATAGACAGATGGCCAACAGGCATATGAAAAGATGCTCAACATCACCGATCATCAGGGAAATGCAAATGAAAACTACACTTAGATATCACTTTATGCCATTAGAATGGCTATAATCACCAAGACAAAAAATAACAAATGTTGGAGAGGGTGTGGAGAAAAGGGGACCCTCATACACTGCTGGTGGGAATGCAAACTGGTGCAGCCACTATGGAAAACAGTATGGAGACTTCTCAAAAGATTAAAAATAGAAATACCATACGACCCAGCTATCCCACTACTGGGTATTTATCCAAAGAACTTGGAATCAATAAAACAAAGACACTTATGTACCCCTACATTCATTGCAGCACTGTTCATAATAGCCAAGACGTGGAAGCAACCCAAGGACCCATCAGCTGATGATTGGATAAAGAAGATATGGTATATATACAATGGAATACTACTCAGCCGTAAAAAGAGGCAAAATTGTCCCATTCACAACAATATGGATGGACCTAAGGGTGTTATGTTAAGTGAAATAAGCCAGACAGAGAAAGACGAACACCATATGATTCCACTCATTTGTGGAAGATAAACACACGGACAAAGAGAACAGTTTAGTGGTTACCTGGGGGAAGGGGAGTGGGAGTGGGCACAAGGAGCAAAGGGGCACATTTATATGGTGTCTGACAAATAGTAATGTACAACTGAAATTTCACAGTGTTATAAACTATTATGACCACAATAAAAAGAAGAAAAAAAAAAGTCAGGAAACCAGGGTTCTGGCACCACTTCGTCATTTATTAGCTCCATGATGTTAGTCAAGTCACTTTACCTCTCTAAGCCTTTGTTTCCTCACCTCAAAAATGTTAGACCAGAATCAGAGGTTTTCATGCCATACATTTTTTTTTCTTTTTTAATGAAATTTTTTTACGAATGAAACTTTACTCAAAATCCTATTATATAAAACAGAGCTGATCTCCTTAATGGGGGTGGGGGGGTTAGAAGCCCCAGCTGCCTACCCAACCCCTCCTCCCCAAAGTTCTTCCCAGGAATCTTAGGGCTCAGAAGACAGGTGGAAACTCTCTGGATAGATCCCTAAGGTCTCTTCTAGAATTAGCGTTTTCTGATACTTACCTGTAAACGGAGTGGAATTTCTTAAAAACAGTTTTGAGGAGGTAAGCCAGTACTAAATGTAAGACAACTTATTGCACACCTACTCCATGTAAGATATTACGAGGTACAGTAGGCAGGATGAAGAAAGAGAGATAGACTTGAAGTACTCTAGAAGAGTAAGAAGGGAGCAAGAGAGAAAAAGAGAGCTTCTGTTAACTGTTTAGAACCCAGCTCATACTATAGAGATTCAAGGCAGCAGAATTGTCTGCCTAAAAATCGGAGATTGTGGAGATTAAGAAGAAAGAAAGAAAAATAAGTGTGTGTTTTAATTGTGCAAGAATTTTTAAAGTTTCGTTTTATTTTTTGAGTGGGAGCTAGATGTACACTTGGTACTAAAATCCAACAGGAACAAACATGTGTCCTGAAAAGACTGTCTGACCCTGGGCCTGTCGTTCCAGTTCCCGTCTCTAGGGGCGGTCTCGATTACCGACTTGTGTGAGTTTCCAGTTTAGGAGTGTGTTAGCGTATTCCTGTGGCTGCTGTGACAAATTAGCACAACCTGGATGGCTTAGAGCAACAGAGGTGTATTCTCACAGTTCTGGAGGCCAGAAGTTTGACATCTGTATTCTGGGGCTGAAATCGAGGATTGGCCCGGCTGCACTCCCTCCAGAGGCTCCAGGGGAGAGGCCCTTTGGTTCTTATTCTAGTTTACACTGCTTGCCGGCAGTCCTTCCTCAGCTCGTGGCCCCGTCACTCGGGTTCTCGAGGCCAGCATCTTCCAATCTCTCTCTGCGCCGTCTTCACATAGCCTTCTCGTGTGTGGGTAGTCTCTCTCCACTTCTCCTTTATATGGATACAGATGGTTACATTTAGGGCTCACCTGGATAATTCAGGGTAATCTTGCTGTCTTAAGATCCTTTACTTGATCACTTCTGCAAAGACTTTGCCACATAAGATAACACTTGCTGGTTCCAGGGGTTAGGATGTGAATGTCTTTTGAGGGGCCATTTTATAGCCTATGACAACAGTAAAACAAATAGCATACTGGACGTACTTCGCTGAACCTATCTGCTAATAGTGAAAAACTGGAATAACTTAAGGGTCTATTAATTCAGAACTGGTTAGATGATGGCACACCCATAGAATGGAATAAGGTGTCACCACTAAGAAGAAAGAAGTGGACGCACTGACATGGAACAATATTCACTATAAAGTAGAACAAAGCAAGTTGCAGAGGTGCATATGAGTAAGGCGAAAATTTGGAAAGATGTATGTCAAACTTAAAAGTGACTTCCCCCAGGAGTAGGACTGGTGGACTTTTGCGTGTATGTGTGTGTGAGAGGAAGATTGTTGCTGAGCTAACATCTGTGCCAGTCTTCCTCTATTTTATGTGGGATGCCGCCACAGCGTGGCTGGATGGGTGGTGCTAGGTCGGCTGCCGGGATCTGAACCTGTGAACCCTGGGCTGTGAACGTGGAGTGTGTGGACTTAACCACTACGCCACTGGGCCAGCCTATGTTGGACTTTTTTATGTTATATGTTTGTACTGTTGGAATTTTTTAATGAAACGTACTTTTATAATAAATCCATGTGTTTTATAATAATTTCAGGAGAAAGTAGACTTGCATTTAGCTTTTCTGAATGAATTCCGTTGCAGGAGTAATAGAGGGATTATTAAAACTTAAACTTTTTTTGATTTTTTTCCCAGATAGCAGACCCTACACTAGCTGAAATGGGAAAAAACTTGAAGGAGGCCATGAAGATGCTAGAGGACAGTCAGAGGTGAGCCTATGGAACGGAAGTGACCCTATTAAACGCGTTCAACCTGTTGTGAAACTGGTTTCCTCCTGTTAAAAACACCTCTTGGTTTCAAAATGTGACAGTTAGCTTAGCTGTGGCTGGCTTTAAAGTTGGTATTTGTCTTGAGTAGAAGGTGCTTCGTAATTAAACGATTTTAAAATTGAGGGGCAGGACTTATAATTTTCAGCTCTGCCAATTAAAGGTTTCATTTATTTAATATATTGATTTGAGTCTATAAATACTTCTTTATTTATAAATAAGGGCATCAACTAACCAAGAAATGGGTGAAGTAGTACTATTTTTTCCATGTTCTTTTCTTTTCCTGAAACTCAAACTATACCTCAAACTGGGGGCTGGGGCCAAGGGTAGGGGAGACGTGTAATAAATGTTTCAAATCCTACCTCAGTTACTAAGAGGTTATAGGCAACATTGTCACATGTTTGCATGCTCAAATGTTAGAAATTTGACAGGATGAAACTAACAGTTTTGTATTTCCTTTAAATTAGAAGAACAGAGGAGGAAAATGGAAAGAAGCTCATGTCAGGGGATATTCCAGGGCCACTCCAAGGCAGGTAGGTGGCATTGAAGATAAGTAAGTACCTTTAGTTAGGATATATATTTTCTTTAAACCAAGATTTTACCATTTTTGATTTACAATTTTAGTTTTAATGAGCACAAAGCAAATTTAGAGTTAGGTGCCGTGTAACACCGAAAAACTGAATGAGATTGGCTGGCTGGTAATAATGTTGAGCCTGCCTGCTTCTCTCCTTTTCCCCTTCAGAATCTTATACAACTTCATGGCGCAAAAGTGGTGCATGGAGGCTGGCCCTGTGGCCAAGTGGTTAAGTTTGCGCGCTCCCCTTCAGCGGCCTGAGGTTTTGCTGGTTCGGATTCTGGGCACAGACATAGCACCGCTCATCAGGCCATGCTGAGGCAGTATCCCACGTGGCATAACCAGAGGCACTCACAACTAGAATATACAACTATGTACTGGGGGGCTTTAGGGAGGAGGAGAAGAAGAAGAAGAAGAAAAAAGATTGGCAACAGATGTTAGCTCAGGTGCCAAGCTTTAAAACAACAAAAAAGTGATGCACAAATTTATAATTATAACTTGACTGTCACAGTTCATTTTTGAAACCTATAATCTATTCGGTAGACTGAGCTTTATTGTTTTTTTTTTTTTTTTTTTTTTTTAAAGATTTTATTTTTTCCTTTTTCTCCCCAAAGCCCCCCGGTACATAGTTGTGTATTCTTCGTTGTGGGTTCTTCTAGTTGTGGCATGTGGGACGCTGCCTCAGCGTGGTCTGATGAGCAGTGCCATGTCCGCGCCCAGGATTCGAACTAACGAAACACTGGGCCGCCTGCAGCGGAGCGCACGAACTTAACCACTCGGCCACGGGGCCAGCCCCAAGACTGAGCTTTATTGTGAGAGAGATTTTAATTTGAGAAGATATATCCTTTTTATAATTGAAAGGAAAATGTCAACTTTAATCATTTATCGGTAGAGTGATTTATTTTTTGGCAGCTAAAGCAAACCTGTCAAGTGTTTGTGGTTCGAGCTAGCAGGGAAAATATCAGAAAAATGAGTATTTGACTGAAATTTTCACAGCATGTTGGCACTCGATCTGGAATTAAAGTCCCAGCCCAGCTTCCCTCAGACAAGCTTTTTTTCGTTTGTTTTATAACCAGGAAACTTCACATAGGTAAACAGTACAACTCCCTTAAATTGTCCTTTGACCTGAATATAAACGTTACAAAGTTGCAAAAGAAAAGTACAGAGGAAGGATACTGTGTGCCAGTAAATGTCACATCTAACACACCCAGACGCTAATATTTTAAAATAGCCACTCCTACTTGTAGTATGAATGGTGCTGATTTGCAGCCCTGATGCCAAGTGGTTCCTACAACTCAGAACAGGAACCAGTCGTGTAAGTCTCCTCATCTCAGGCCTACTGAAGGGGATTAAAGGGTTCTGCGGATCCCACAGAAGTTTCCCTGGAAGAGAGACTACCGAGAACGTCTGTAATTCTCACAGTGAGGGCGTTAAAGCCACCGGTCGGGAGCATTCGTGCTTAATCATGCTACCAGCCAACATCTGAGCTAGCACTAAGCCAGGCGCAGCGTTACATGCTTCCCGTGCACTGTCTGACTGCATCCTCCCAGTTCTGTAATGGAGGGGCTTAGCTTGTTCAGGGTCACGGGACCAGCACTCACGTGTGCCTCAAGGCCCACTTGGCCTAATCTCTGTGCAGTGTCCAAGGCCCAGAGCCCCTCTCTCAGGAAGCTCAGCACCTCAGGGAGGGTCGGTGTGGGGGCATTGTTTTGACAATGCTTCTTTTTCAAAAGAGAGTTTTGTTTTTTTTAAATTTTTTATTGAGTTAATGTAGGTTACAATCTTGTGAAATTTCAGTTGTACATTGTTGTCTGTCAGTCATGTTGTAGGTGCACCCTTCACCCTTTGTGCCCACCCCTACCCCCGCTTTCCCCTGGTAGCCACTAATCTGTTCTTTGTCCACATGTTTAAATTCCTCATGTGAGTGGAGTCATACAGAGATTGTCCTTCTCTATCTGGCTTATTTCACTTAACATAATTCCCTCAAGGCCCATCCATGTTGTTGCAAATGGGATGACTTTGTTTTTTACGGCTGAGTAGTATTCCATTGTATATATACCACATCTTCAAAAGAGAGAGCTTTTGATTGGTCATATTCCCATTAATGGAGCCCTAATATTTTCACATTACGTGTGTTACAGATTGCCTTGCCATTGCTGACTACTTTAACCATTCACTTTCTTCTCATAAGTTTTCACCTCCTCATGTAACGAGCATTTGGTAACTTACCTTGGATAGAAGTCAATCTTTTTACCCTCTAAGCAGGTCTGCAGTTTCTTTCCCGGCTTGGGGAAGAGGTGGTAACAAATGACGATGGCATTGCGCGGTGAAGTCTGTTAGAACACACACGCAAGACTCCTACATGGAGGGAAACTAGATGTACCGGTGGCATTGGCGTATTCTTGCTGCTTCTGTGACCTCCCAGCATCTTATAAGGGCTGTTTTGGCTTTTATAACATGCTTATTAAATATTTTCCAGGATTCATGTGAATAGGTGGAGAAATATTGTTGGAGCAATACTGGTGAAATTTTAAAAAATCGATCTCGTTTTTAGCTAGAAGATTTAATCAATCACAAATAAGGTTATATTCAGCCAGCCCTGGTCTAGTGGTTACCATTTGATGCTCTCACCGCTGTGGCCCGGGTTCGGTTCCCGGTCAGGGAGTCACACCACCTGTTGCTGGTTGTCATACTGTGGTGGCTGTATGTTGCCGTGATGCTGAAAGCTATGCTACCAGTATTTCGAATACCAGCAGGGTCACCCATGGTGGACAGGTTTCAGTGGAGCTTCCAGACTAAGACAGACTAGGAAGAAGGACCTGGCTACCCACTTCCCAAAAAATTGGCCATGAAACCCTATGAATAGCAGCGGAGCATTGTCTGATGTAGCACCGGAAGTGAGAGGATGGCACAGAAAGACCGGGCAGGGTGCTGCCTGCTGTGCACAGGGTTGACTGGCACCAACAACAAAAAAAGGCTATGTTCAGAATTCAATTAATAATTTGAAATTTGTCTTTAAAAGATGCATATTGTACCTCAAACACATTCTTTCACTTGTAGCTACTCATTTAAAAAAATATATGTCTTAAAGCTAGTTTGGATGCCAGAAATAGAGAGTGGTGGGGGATGTGTGCTATTTCCACCTGTCCATCAACTGTTTTTTATTCTGCAGTGGACAAGATATGGTGAGCATCCTCCAGTTAGTTCAGAATCTGATGCACGGAGATGAAGATGAGGAGCCCCAGAGTACCCGGTAATGGAGAATGGTTGGCAGCTTCTCTTCGAAAGTATATGTGTTCTTGATTTTGATAGTGATTGCCTTCTTAGAACATGCTGGAATAATAAACTGTGTTTCATTCAGAGTTACAGTACATAGCTCATAGTAAATGATGTTCATTTTTTCTTTTCAGATAAACATGTATGTATAAAGTAATATATTTTATATATATTAAAAATTAAATACCAGCCATAAGGACTACATAGGATAGAGCTGAGATAAAATGTGCAGATAAAATAATATATGTGTAATATATTTTGCAAAAGGAAGGCATTTACTAAAACTAAATCCTGTAGTTATTATGCTGTCCTGTCTTAGGGAGGGGCTGGCAAAGGGGCCGGAGAATCACTGCCATGCGCTTCTGCTCTGATCGCTTCTTCTTGTGCCCTTTGTGCTTGTGCTTCTGCGTGCCGACAAGAACTGCCACAGCTGCATTGATGGGTGGCAGGCTATGTTGTCTGTGAATCATCTGTTTTATTTTTATTTATTCATCTGTTTAGCTATTTAGTTTTATTTTCTCTTTAGTTATTTTAAATTTCACTTTTTGGAATAAGTAATTCATTCTCCTGATTCAAATTTCAAAAGATAAAAAGGGTGTATATACAAAGGCGATTTTCCTTCTTACCTCTGCCTCCCTCTCTTGTTCTCCTTAAAGACAGACAATGCTGCCAGTTTCTTGTGTATTCTTCAGAGATATTTTAGTGCATGTATATACAAGCAAAATGTCTCTACTCACGCCCTCCAGTACATAAATACCGTATGCGTTGTACCTTGCTTTTTTCATTTATGTCTTGGAGTCAGTGCATATCAATACACAAAGGAGCTTTCTCCCTTAAGGGCTGTTTAGTTTTACTTTGAATGGATGAACCGTATTGTCTTTAACTAGTCTCTTATTTGTGTTTTACTCTTACAAACATTGCTGCAGCCACTAGCTTTGTACATGTGTCGTTTCTCATTGAAGCAAGTGTTTCTGGAGGTTCAAGTCCTGGGAGTGGGATTGCCGGGCCAGACAGTTTGTGCATTTGTGATTTTGGTAGCTCTTGCCAAATTTCCCTCTGTGGGATTGTGCCCGTTTGCAGTCCCACCAGCCATGTGTGAGCACTCCTCTTTCCCCACACCTTGACCTGCAGGGGTTTTAGTAAACTTAAGGATTGTTGCCAATCTGATAGCTTTTTTATTCTCTTTCAGCATAATTTTAATTTGTATTTTTCTTATGAACCAGGTTGTGTCTTTTTGTATGTTTTAAGACCCATTTATATGTCCTTTTCTATGAACAATCTCCTTTGTCCAGTATCCTGTTCAATTTTTTGTCTTTTTCTTGTTGCTTTATAGTTATTCTTTATCAAGGAAATTTGTCCATCCATTTTAATTATATATAATAGAATACCTCGTTCCCCTTGGCTTTGCCATAGTATTGTCATAAATAGCTATTTAAGGCAGGGGATTGATCTCCATCTAATGAGTTTGAAGGAAATTGGCTTCTGCACATTTTATCTCAGCTCTATCCTATGTAGTCCTTATGGCTGGTATTTAATTTTTAAAAATTTTTTAGAAGAAAATTACTCAAAAACAGTTTGTACATTTAGTAGCTATTCAATAAAAAGAAGGATATTGATCTCCTAGGACTTGAATTTTAAAAATCTTTTTCTTCGCCAGACTATGATACTTTATATGCATTGAGTTTTCTAAATTTATCTGGATTTCTGCCTTCTTGGCTGTTAAGTGAATTTCAACTCTGGCAGAAATTTGTATGGAATACTGTTTCTCTAAGTTTTATTCCTTTTTATGCTTTGACTAATACTTTTTTTTAAAATCTAATGCATTTTGATTGACAGAATCCAGAATATTGGAGAACAAGGTCATATAGCTTTGTTGGGGCATAGTCTGGGAGCTTATATTTCAACTCTGGACAAAGAGAAGCTGAGAAAACTTACAACTCGGATCCTTTCAGACACTACCTTATGGCTTTGCAGAATTTTCAGGTACAGACGTTATGAGTTTTTAGTTTCTAAAGACATCGATGAGTTGGGTATAGACTGAGAGAGCTGTTTTCTGAGTTGTACCGCCTGGATTCAAATCTGCCTCTTCCCCTTCCTCTTGGAAGGGTTACTCAGCCTCTCCATCCTCCTCATCCATGAAATAGGGATAGCGTAGATATCGATCTCATGGCATTGTTGTGAGGATTAAATGAGCTGGTGCATTAATATATGTAAAAAGCTGAGCAAGGCACATACTTGTTAGGTAATATCAGCAGTTACTTATTTTTAGATTCCTAACTGGCACATGTTGATAGAAGAGCAGTGAAACGGATTCAAATATTTTTAGTCAAAGTATTATCTTGTGCTTTAGTGGAAAGGAAATGCTGTCATAAGGAAGATGAGTATGTGTTATGAAATTGCAGTTTGCTTCGTACTGTAATAACGTTGGCATTATTAAGGAATTAGAGCAGATTAAGGATTCAGTAGAAGACACAGGGCCAGTGGTATTTTTGTGTTTACACTATTACTTTTATAGGAAAGGAGCATTTGCCTAACATTGGAGCATTTAACTTGGAGACCCACTTTCAGATGTTGGGAGAAAGGCTGGCCTGGCACAACTATGAGTTTGCCTGATGTATTGCAAGGGAGAAATTTTCTTCTGTCCTAAGAAAAATCCAAGCCCTGTAGTTGAGATTCTCTCTCCCCCTCCTCTGGGAGATTGAGGAGAGTCACCGACCCCAAGCAGATAATAGTGAAAGCAGAAGTTAGCCTGACTAGTGTTTTGACAATTTTATTTACTTTGGATGTTTTTGGGCGGAAACTCGGCTAAGAACCTTGCCTCCATTATCCAGTGCTGCCCTTCTTGGAGAATAAGCCAGAACCCTGATCTTCAGCGTTTTTATATCTGAGGGACTCCTCTGCTGGTTTTCATAGTTTCTCCTCTTTATCGAGTTGGATATGAATGAAAGGTCATCGCCTCTGTTCTTTATACCCTCCAGCTGTAAGGAGCCATCAGCTGTCTCAGAGGAGGGTGATTCCTCTCTCCTTTGACTGATCTAGGTGACAGCTTCTAGGTTGAGAAAAGAATTACTTCCTCGATTATGAGATTGGGATATAAAATCAGAGTTAACCAGAGATAATGTATCGATATCTGGGTGTCTCTTAGGTATGAAAATGGCTGCGCTTATTTCCACGAAGAAGAAAGAGAAGGACTTGCAAAGATCTGTAGGCTTGCCATTCATTCCCGTTATGAAGACTTCGTAGTGGATGGGTTCAATGTGTTATATAACAAGAAGCCTGTTATATATCTTAGTGCTGCTGCCAGGCCTGGCCTGGGCCAGTACCTCTGTAATCAGGTAAGGTGGTATCAGGTGGCTATTTTAAAGAAACAATCTTTTATTCTGTTCTGGACCTTTTTCAAGTGTGTAGACTGACTTCTTTAGCTGCTGCTCTTTTCAAGTGAAAAGAAAGATGGTATTCTTACATGCTTGTTTTGTCATTATAAGAAAATATATAAATGTATGTAAATGAATTTAGATATGTATTTTTTTTAGTTGCCCAAAGGCAACCACAGTCAACATTTTACTTTATTTCTTTTCAGACTTTAATCAAAGAGTGTCTGTCTGTTTATGTGGTTATATGGCTTTTTCCACTTACTGTTATGGCAGGTGCATGTCATGTTTTACAATTCTTCAAAGTAAAGTTTATTTTTGACGTCTTTATAATATTCCTTCAAATGAGTGTACAGTATTTTAACTAACTGTTTTCCTTTTGGACAATTAGAGTGTTTGCCTTCTTTTGCTTTCTGTGACCATTTTCAGGTAATGCTCTTTGTAAAGTTCTGTTACAGACATGTTTCTGCAGAAACGGTTTTCTATATTTAGGATTATATTTCTCAGATGGATTTTCAGAGTCAATCTAGAATTACTAGATCAAAGAGCATTACCATTTTTAAAGTTCATGGTGCATGTGGCCCACTGAGGGGCTACCCTGAGATAAGAAATTGTTAAGGCTCTTGGCCAAGAATATTTTAAGGCGGGGGCCAGCCCAGTGGCATGGCGGTTGAGTTCATGTGCTCTGCATCAGCAGCTTGGGGTTCACAGGTTTGGATCCTGGGCATGGACCTACACCCAACTATAAAATAAAGGAAGCTTGGCACAGATGTTAGCTCAGGGACAATCTTCCTCACCAAAAAAAGAGAATATTTTAAGGCACAACCCATAGGATTGGACAGTTTGTCTTTTGTAAGATGGAGGAGTCCTGGGGGCATATAGGGGAAGCTCAGGGACTTGAGTTGATTCTGAGCTCTGGTCACTGATGGCAAGAAATTAGTCCTCTTCTTGAGGGTATTCAAAATGGGGAGTTTCATGATAGCGCTATGGAAATGTGAGACAAATTACTGCTGCCGGCCAGGCTCTTGCGGCCCCAAGGCTGTCTTGGGACAGCAATCCAACCTTCAAAAGAAGTGTGAGGATGTCCTGTGGAGTGAGAAAGGCAGGTGGCAGAACAGCATATATAAGATGGTCATGTTCATGTTTTAAAAATTGTGTCCATGCTTATATGTGTATGTTTTTTATACCTAGAAAAATATATTTATATAAATACATATATTTATACCTAGAAAGTGTCTGGAAGTTTATATACTGACCTGTTAACAGTGGTGGATTGGCAGTTTATTGGCGGTGGTGGGGGGTGGGGTGGGGTGCATTTTTACTTTTAATTTCTATTTTTTTTTTACTGTGTGTTTTACTTGAGTTTCACTTGTATAATTTAAAAGAAAAGTCCTTTACGGGGGAATAAATATGAAAAAAATACTCATTAAATTTTTTTTCCCCCTAAAGATTGGCACCTAAGCTAACTCACATCTGTGGCCAATCTTTTTTTGTTTTTCCTTCTTCTTCTCCCCAAAGCCCCCGCCCAGTACATAGTTGTGTATATTAGATGCAAGTCCTTCTAGTTCTGCTGTGTGGGACACCACCTCAGCATGGCCTGATGAGCAGTGCCAGGTCCACACCCAGGATCTGAACCGACAAAACCCTGGGCCGCTGAAGCAGAGCACATGAACTTAACCACTCTGCCATGGGGCTGGCCCCTCAGGATGTCCCCAGAGCATATCCCCAAAAGATAAATTTTTGATCCTTATATTCTACCAAGTCTTGGTTATACAGAACAATATGTGGCAACTTGTGAAAAATTTCTAAAACTATAAACTCAGGGATTTGGAAGCTAAAAATGAAGAATATAAAATTTATTTGCAGGCCGGCTCCATGGCATAGTGGTTAAGTTCCACATGCTCTGCTTCAGGGTCCAGGTTCACTGGTTCAGATCCAGACCTGGTTCACTGGTTCAGGCGCAGACCTATACCACTTGTTAGCCATGCTGTGGCAGCAACCCACGTGTAAAGTAGAGGAAGACTTGCAACAGATGTTAGCTCAGGGCTAATCTTCCTCAGAAAAAAAAAAAAAATTTATTTGACAATTACTATCTCCATCCGTAACACTGACTTCATTTCTCCTAAGAAATGTACATCTGCTAGACCATATTTATTGCTTTTTAGGAGTGGATGGACCCATAAGTAAGATATCATTCTTTGAATGCCTTTAGCTGGTATTATTTACCACTAATGCCTGGAGGGAGGACTCTAAATTATCCCCAGAAAAATGCTTGGGGCTCAGTTGTTTCTTGGTTTGGAAAAGTGTTTTTGTTTTTTGGTATATTCTAGAATATGCCAAAGATAGCTACTCAGAATATGAGTTGATAGTTACTCATTTAGTTGACTCATGTAAGAAATTTTACATTGTATCCTTTTATAAGACATCTCATCTCATAGAAATTCACCCTTCTTTTGGCTTGACTTTCTAAATGTAGTTTGACAATTATTTATAACATTAAGAGTTCCTAGGGAGAGAGATTGTTTTAAAAGAACAATTGTGATTTGTCTTAGAGCCACAATCTTTTGGGGGCATAAGTGACTGGTGACAAAGGTCTTCCTTATAAAATTGTACGGTCCCTCTTGCAGCTCGGCTTGCCCTTCCCCTGCTTGTGCCGTGTGCCCTGTAACACTATGTTTGGATCCCAGCATCAGATGGTGAGTTCTCCTTTTGCATTGCTTCTTTGGGAAGTTATAATTTTTCATTGTGTAGCTTTTATGCTGTTTGCTTCATGTTTTTGTGGTTTGTCTTTTAATGCCAGGATGTTGCCTTCCTGGAGAAACTGATTAAAGAAGATATTGAACGAGGAAAATTGCCCCTTTTGCTTGTTGCAAACGCTGGTGAGTATTGTGAACTGGAATCTTCCATTTTGGACAAGTAAGAGAGAGGCTAGGTACTTAGCCTAAAAAAGACCAAGTCTTAAGAGATGTTTTTTGCACCACATGTTTAAGATAGTCTTTATCTGCATTGTGGTGAGAATTGTAATACTAAAATTGGTTCATTAGATTTCCTTTTGTTAGTTTGTTTGAGGAGTTACTTTGTTGGTGTGTGTATACTCTTTCATTTAGGTCATAAGTGCTTCTCTGCTTCTTCATGTGCTTCCTTTCTAAGTTGAATTTTAAAATGTCACACTTAAATGTCCACCTTGTAGACAGCAGGTCAACTACCACTTTCTGCTCTGCTTACTGTATTCAGCATTGTACTTGAAGTTCTAGACAGTGCAATAAGGCAAGAAAAATAATTAAATGATATACAGATTGGAAAGGAAGAATGAACTGTCTTTATCTGCAGGTGGCATGATCATATAGATAGAAAGTGCTGAGGAAAACAAGAAAGGCCATTGAAGCTAATAAATGAATCTGTCAAGGTTGCAGAATTTCTATATACTAGCAATGAACAATTTAAATTGAATTTAAAATGCTATTCAGCTATCATCAAAAAAACCTTTATGGGTAAATTTAACAAAATATATGCAAGATCTGTACATTGAAAGCTGCAGAATGTTGCGGAGAGAAATTCAAGAAGACCCAAATAAATTGAACGATTCCATGTCTGCAGGTTGGAAGACTCCATATTATTAAGTCAGATCTCCCTGAATTAATCTGTAGATTCAGCTCAGCCCCTCAAAATCTCAGCAGGCTACAATTGCTTATAGAATTGATAAGCTGATTCTGAAATTTATATGAAAATACAGAGAATCTAAGAATGGCCAAAATAATTTTGAAGAACACAATTGGAAGACTTAACCTATTTGACTTTTAGACTTACTATAAAGCTACAAAACCCAGAAAGTGCGAGATTAACTGAAGAGAGTAAAGAGTTCAGAAATAGACTCATGTATATGTCGCTTGGTAGTTTACAAAGAAGCCGAGGTAGTTCAGGGAAGAAAGAATAGTCTTTTCTGCCAGTGGTTTGGAAGAATTGGATATCCATAAGGAAAAAAATTGAACCTTAACTCTTACCTCACTCTGTGTACAAAAATTAATTATAAATGGTTCATAGACCTAAACATAAGAGCCAAAACAATGAAACTTCTAGAAGAAAGTATGGAAGATCTTTGTGACTTTGGGTTAGGCAAATATTTCTTAGGACATAAAAGACATGAACAATAAATTAGACTTTATCAAAAATTGGAAGAGCCAGCCCTGATGTCCTAGTGGTTAAAGTTTGGCACTCTTACTGCTTCGGTGGCCTGGGTTCACTTCCCAGTCACGGAACCACACTACTTGTCTGTCAGTTGCCGTGCTGTGGCAGCAGCTCACATAAGGACTAGAATGACTTAACAGCTAGGCATTGGGGCTTTGGGGAGGAAAAATAAAAGAGGAGGATTTGACAACAGATGTTAGCTCAGGGCGAATCTTCCCTTGAAAAAAAAAAAAATTAAAAGCTTTTGCTGTTCAAAAGACCCTGTTAAGAAAATGGAGACAAGTTACAGACTGGGAGAAAATATTTGCAGGGCTTTTTTTTTGACAAAGGATTGTATCTGAAATATATAATTAAGTTTTACAATTCAATATTGAGACAGACAGTACAATTTTTAAAATGAACAAAAGATTCTAATAGACACTTCACCAAAAAATGCATGAATGTGTAAGCATTTGAAAAGAGGCTTAACATCATTAGAGAAAAGCAAATTAGGACCACAATGATCTACTATGACGTGTCTGTTAGAATGGAAAAAATACAATGCCAAATGCTAGTGAGGATGCAGAGCAGCTGGAACTCTCGTACACCGCAGGTAGGGCTGCAATGTTACAGCTACTCTGGAAAGGAGTTTGGTAGTTCCTCAAAGGCTAAACATAAAATTACCACATGAACCATTAGCTCCACTTCCAGGTATTTATCAAAGAGAAATGAACACACATGTCCACACAAAGAATTGTATGCAGTATTCATATCTGGGAACAACCCAGATGTCCTTCACTGGGGGAATGGATGAACAAATTGTGGTATATCCATATCATGACACTAAGCAATAAATGGAAATAACTACTGATGTACATATCAACACGGGTGAATTTCAGAAGCATGCTAAGTGCAACACGCCAGACACATAAGAAGACTCCATTTACATGAAATTCTAAAAAAGACGAAACTACAGTGGCAGAAAACAGATCAGCGTTGTCCATGGCCAGTGAGGAGTGGAGGAAAGAGTGAAACTTTGGGGGAGGGGCGGGAACTTTTGGGATGATGGAAATATTCTCTACCTTGATTGGGTTGGTAGTTACACGCTGTATACTTTTGTCAAAACTCATTGAACCTTATACTTAAATGAGTGGATTTTATTGCATGTGAATTATACTTCAATTAAGAAAGCTGATTATTTAAAAAATAATAATAAATGGAAAAAACGCATATCCATCTTATTGCTAGCAGGAAAACCACCACTTCCTTCCTGACTTAGCATATTGTATTTTTAAAAAGAAACATAGGAGCCGGCCCCGTGGCCGAGTGGTTGTGTTCGCGCGCTCCACTTCTGCAGCCCAGGGTTTCGCCGGTTCGAATCCTGGGCACGGACATGGCACCGCTCATCAGGCCATGCTGAGGTGGCGTCCCACATGCCACAACTAGAAGGACCCACAACTAAAATTATACAACTGTGTACTGGGGGGCTTTGGGAAGAAAATAAAAAAAGATTAGCAACAGTTGTTAGCTCAGGTGCCAATCTTTGAAAAAAAAGAAACATAAATCCACCCATATTCAGTCACTTGGTAGATGGGAGAGTCTGCAGTTCACATGTGACTCAGTGACTGGACAACCTACCAGATGTAGCTCTGGGATGTCACCAGAGCACACATCCCAGGGGTTTGCCTTTGCCAGCAGACAGTGCCAAAAAACATGGAAAAAGACTCTGAATGTGGTCTGGTCACTAAAACACAGCACTGTGCTCTTTGTTTTGATAGAAGCATCGTGTGACACAAGCCATGCATTGGCCTTTGATCTTGTTTCAACTAAACCAAATGTGTTGGTTAAGATTTTTTTAAAATTTGAGACAGACTTATATGTGGGATAAAAAGTTTTCAGCCCTTTTCCTGGCATATACCCTGCAAAAGAGCCAGTTGCATTAGTTGTGTTTGTTGAGGCAGTTGGTGAGGTTTGAAATCTTATTAGGTAGGATTCTGCTAACTGGAAATTTAGGACAGTTGAGAGAATACGATCCCACATTTTGCTTATGTTCTGTGAAGAGGGATCTGTCCAGCAAGGCCTGTAATGTAAATCACCAAGGAAATGGGTTAAAGTGTTCAATATGTTTAAACTGACTCAGAATGCATGTTTTATATTAAAATAAAGAACCTCACAATTGGATTAACAAAACCCAAATTCGTCTGTCTTTTTTATAAAGGACACACCTAAATAGAAATAACTCAGAAAGTGACAAAAAGTAAGAAAGAAAGGATATCTAGGGGAAATGCTAACAGGACAAGAGTACTGTAGCAATGTTAGTATGAGATGAAACAGACTTCACGTTAATTATAATCCGTCTGATCTACTGAGAGAGAGAACAGTTATGAATGCTTGTGAACATAACTTTGAAATACATAAAAGGAAGATTGAAAGAATACAAGTGTAAATTGACCAACGCACAATCCTGACAGGAGACTTGAAGATATTTCTCATGAAACAACAGATTAAGTAGATGGAAAATAAGTATAGATATTTAAATAGCACAGTTAACAAGCTTGAGTTTATAGATACATGTAATGGAGAATACACACTGTTCAAAACTTGAATAATCAACTTGCAAAAGTTGATTTTAAGCCGATCCACAAAGAAAGTCTCAATGAAACAGAGATGTTCCTTCCCGCATGGGGAGATAATGTATATGAAAGCTTTTGTCACGCTGTAAAGCCTCGGAAGATGTTTGTTCCTTTCAGTATCCTTTTTTGTGTGTTTCATCCTAGGAACTGCAGCCGTAGGGCACACAGATAAGATCGGCCGTTTGAAAGAACTCTGTGAGCAGTATGGCATATGGCTTCATGTGGAGGGGTGAGTGGAGGGGAGGTTGGCTCCATGGCAGGCCTGCACACGGTGCTCGCGAAGAGTGCTCCTCTAGGCTCTCACTTTGTTGTGACATTTACCACTAAGGGCTCTTTGGGTTGCAGATAACAGCATAACCCAAATTGGCTTAAGCATGAAGAGACTTGATTGACTCATATAACTACAAAGACCGGTGCTAGCTTAGCTTTAGGCACAACGTCAACCAGGATTCATGTCTTCCTCCCCTGCCCTCCCCTAGTCATTTGGCTTAATTTCCACTCTGTTGGCTCCATCTATAGATAGACCTTACTATTATGGCACAAAGTAGCTGCAGCAACTCCAGCCTTCTTTCTAGGTTTGTGTCCAGTGGGTCAGAAGTCCCAGCAACGGTCTCCCACTGAACCACTCCCTGTGGCCGGGGAAATGTAATACCAGATCTGATAGTTTAGGTTACTTGCCCACCTCTGGAGCGGGTAGTATCATCTCCTCCAGGCAAAGCTGTGGTCTGATAGAGGAGATTGGCGTGGGTTCCCAGAAGGCCGTTGGAGTGCTGCTAGGAAAAGATGGGAGAGGCTGCAGGGCGGCCACAGTGGTCCAGACCCTGCACCTCATAGGAGGCAAGTTTCTTTATTTCATCCCTCTGGGGAAGGATGATGACTGGAAAATGAGAGCTATGAAAGACAGAAAATGAGACACACAGTACACCAAGCATGTAGGGGATAGCCCTTGAATGAGATTGTGATTCAGATGCATTTTCTAGGTTTTCCTAAAATATGTGTATACCACATTTTCTGTTGCTGTTATAAAAACTAATAACACAGCTGAAAGGCATTTAAATGTCAGCTTGGAACAGCAGCCTTTTTTTTGTTGAAAGTACAAACTTGGTGAGTAAGCAGCAGTAAATAATTAGTTCTTAGATCGGTGTTTTTTCTTCCAGTGTGAATCTGGCAACATTGGCTCTAGGTTATGTCTCCTCGTCAGTGCTGGTATGTCGTTGCTTTACTAAATACTGCGTTTTTAAGAAGGAATGTAAAATCACTTAATCCCTGATGGCTTTTCACGGTTTTCATGAGTGGAGGAGGGTTTGGGTTTAGTGCGTTCTGACAGTCTAACAAAAAGTCGTTCTCTCTTTGGTAGGCTGCGACCAAATGCGATAGCATGACGTTGACCCCAGGCACGTGGCTGGGTCTGCCAGCTGTTCCCGCAGCTACCCTTTATAAACACGACGACCCCGCCTTGGTGAGCTTACTCTCACTGGGAGGGAGTGGGGAGTAGCTAAGAGTCGTTAGTAGGTCTGGGGGCAAAATACAGAAAAACAAAGGGAAAAGTGTCCTTAATGCCACTTCTGTGACTTTTCTTTTCGGAAAAGTGTTTTGAACATAAGTGAAACTGTCCCATAGATAATTTTTCTATTATTCTCCCCATACTTCCCCATGTGTATGAAGAACTTTTCATGACATTTTATGACTGCGTAATGTTCTTTGCTAAATACCACAATTTAATCATTCTCCATTTGTGACCTTTTAGGATGTTTTCAAATTTTTGTTACTGCAATAATGAGCGTCTTTCTGTGTTTCAAATTATTTCCTTAGACTGGTTTCCAGAAGTGGTGTTTCTGTTAGTAGTTGAAACTTGCCATCCATCTTGTCTAGAAGGTTGAAACTTGATGGGTTTTTTGAAGGCATGGATCTTGATAGTGGATCAGTTAGTGGTAGACACATGCAGAATAAGGTTTATGTGACTCTCGCGAGACCAGTAATGTCTTGCTCACGTGAAAATGGCCAGAGATTTGAGGACCTCAGAAGAGCCTTGGAAGGGGCTGCCTCCTGAGTGGCTCAGAGCTCCAGCCCTGGGATGTGACCCATCTGCATTCGCATCCTGGCTTTGCCACATTTTAGCCATGAGCCCTTGGACAAAGCAAGGCCTCTGAGCTCACTTGCCAGGGGTACTTCCCTCGTGGAGTTGTTGGATGGTCAAACGAGTAATGCAAGCCAGTGCCTGGCGTGGCCTCCGACACGGACTGAGCGCCTAGTTGCTGGCAGCTAGTTAATTCTGCTGTGAGCTTTAAGTGGTTTTGATTAATAAACCCATTGCTTTTTTAGACTTTAGTTGCTGGTCTTACATCAAATAAGCCAGCAGACAAACTCCGTGCCCTGCCCCTGTGGTTGTCTTTGCAATACTTGGGACTCGATGGCATTGTGGAGAGGATCAAGCACGCCTGTCAACTGGTGAGTAGACAGTGAAGTTTAAACGAGTCACAGCTGCTCCATGGCAAAAGTGGAGACAGAAAAATCCTTCCTTGATTTGCCATCCACCCAATACCTTGGTGTCTGGATTTCCCATCTCATAAGAAGGCAGATTCATCGCCCTGCATGTTTATATTTTGTATTCAAAGTTCTGGGAGACACTGCTGGGGTTGTCCAAATGAAATCAAATTCAAATGAATGCCAGTGTCAACATGGGATGAGATGACAGCCAGGGCGTGAAGAAGGACGCAAAAGCGGGGAAAATGTTCCACTTGAGGGGCCAGCCCAGTGGCGTAGTGGTTAAGTTCACACACTCTGCATCGGCAGCCCAGGGTTCACAGGTTTGGATCCCAGGCACAAACCTACACACCGCTCATCAAGCCATGCTGTGGCAGCATCCCACATACAAAATAGAGGAAGATGGCCACAGATGTTAGTTCAGCGACAATCTTCCAGCAAAAAAGAGGAAGATTGGCAACAGATGTTAGCTCAGGGCCAATCTTCCTCACAAAAAGAAAGAAAGAAAGAAAATGTTCCACTTGACTGACTGACTCTTGAGGGTAAAGGAATATAATGGTCAGGGGTTGATTGTGGGTGGCATGTGTATTTATAACACCAGCTGGCTTAGGTTTTCAAATTGCAAGGCTCTAGGGACAATTCTAATTCTATTTGAGGTGTTCTAATTGTGAAAAATACATAACTATGCTGTAGTTTAGAAAGCAGAAAAATGTCATATTTATGCAGTTTGAGAGCTGATGTCAGTCTAAAGGCGTGATGTCACCTCTGTACCTCCGTTTTCTTCCTTGTGAAATAGGGGCGGTGATATACGATCGTTATGAGAACGTGATGAGTGCATACATGTGAAGCTCTCACAGCAGTGCCTAGCTGGATAGTCAGTTCCGCAAATAGGTTTAAAAAGAAGGCTTTGTTTCAATATCGTCTTGGGGAATTGGCCCTTCCTGTAGAGTCATTTTTATATTTAAGAAAAATTAGTATTTTTGTATTCCTGTAGCAGGAGTCCTTTGGTTCGTAATGTCAGAATAGTTCATTCTAACGCTGTTTCTGCTTCATTAGAAACTATTCGAAACGAGGTCGTTTCATTTTTACATTAAACAGTTTTAAGAATTACGTTCGTCATGTTTACAGAAGCCCACGTGTTTTAGAGCACTTTCTCGCTGGGCTGTCGGCTCCCATCTGGTTCTTGGGAAGGAGAAGCTTTTATTGCCTGGTCACTGTCAGTTTGGGGCAGGTGTGGGCACTCAAGGGAGAGTGTTTCCAGTTCCCTTTGGCTTGCGGAGGGAGGGCAGGGAGATGATGAGGACATTAACTCCCAGAGCCGTGAGGCCGCTGCAGCTGTGGCGTCTTCCTGCAGGCAGACACTGGAGCTGCTCTCACACGCTCCTGGGGGCTCGAGTGATGGCCGGTTGCTGACTCTCCACTGCTAACTGCTCTGTTAAACTGCATGGAAATTTAGCCCGTGGGGTTATCTGTGTCCATTCATGCCTCATGTTCCAGACCAGATATATAGGTTCCCTGAGAGCAGAAATCAGTGTCCTCCTCTTCCTTCCCTTCCTCCTTCTCGTCATCATCTTCAGCTTCATGGGAAGCGGTTATGGAGCATTTACTCAGTGCCAGGCACTCCGAGGCACTGTGCCTGCAGGGTCTCATTCAATCCCCACAGCTTCACTAGAACGTAAGCTCCACTGATGACAACGTATTAAGTATTAGTTTTCTGGGACTGGCCCCGTAGCCTAGTGGTTAAGTTCAGTGAGCTCTGCCTCGGTGGCCTGGGTTCAGTTCCCAGGCGCAAACCTATACCACTTGTCAGCGGCCGTACTGTGGCAGCAACCCACATACAAAATAGAGGAAGATTGGCACAGATGTTAGCTCAGGGCAGATCTTCCTTGGCCAAAAAAATAGTTTTCATGGGAGTTTTCCAATGTCCAACACTCAATGAATGTCTGTTGAATTAATGAATCCCAACCTAATGAAGTAGATACTATTTTATCCCCACATCCGTGGTAAGAGAACTGGGATTGAGATGGTAATGTAATGATGGTGACGGCGGTGGTGACGATGGTAGTCATCACTTACATAATGCATAGCGTGTTCTAGACACTTGTTATCGCAACTCATTTCATCTTCACAACAACCTTCTAAGATAGATGCTATCATCCCCATTTTCTAGTTGAGGGAACTGAAGCACAGACGGGCTAAATAACTGTCCAGGGTCACAGCTGGCAGGTGGCAGAGTCAGTAATTTACCCACGCTCCTGCAGCTGGTAAGTGGCAGAGCCAGCTTGTGGACCCAGGTGGGTTATTCCAGACTCCAGGTTCCTGCCCAGCTCTTAACAGTGCTGGGCCCTCTCGTTTCTCTCTGCTCCTCCTCCTCCCCAGTATCAGGTACTGTGCCTTGCACACATTTGTACTCAATAGGTTTGGCGTTTTTATTGACGTATAATTGACTTATAATATTACCTTGGTTTCAGGTATACAACATAATGATTCGATATTTGTGGATATTGTGAAATGATCACCACAATATGTCTAGTTAACATCCATCACCATACATAGTTACAAAGGTTTTTTTTCCTTAGGTGATGAGGACTTTTAAGATTTATTCTCTTAGCAACTCTCAAATATGCACTTAACTATAGTCACCGTGCTGTACATTACATCCTCATGACTTATTTTATAGCTGGAAGTGTGTACCTTTTGACCCCCTTCACCCATTTCACTCACCCCCCACCTTCCACCTCTGGCAACCACCAGTCTATTTTCTGTAGCTATGAGCTCCTTGTTTTGTTTTAGATTCCGCATGTAAGTGAGATCATACAGTATTTGTCTTTCTCTTGGCATGCTGCCCTCAAGGTCCATCCATGTTGTCACCAATGGCAAGATTTCATGCTTTTTTATGGCTGAGTGATATTCCGCTGTGTACGTATGTCACATTTTCTTGATCCAGTCATCCATTGCTGGACACTTAGGTTGTTTCCATGTCTTGCTTTTGGAAATAACGCTGCAGTGAACATGAGGGTGCAGGTATCTGTTCGAACTAGTGTTTTCATTGTCTTCAGATAAATACCCAGAAGTGAATTGCTGGATCATACGGTAGTTCTATTCTTAATTTTTTGAGGAACTGCCATACTGTTTTCCATAGCGGCTGCACCCGTTTACACTCGCACCAGCAGTGGACAGGGTTCCCTTTTCTCCACACCCTCGCCGCACTTGTTACTTCCTGTCTTTCTGAGAACAGCCGTTCTAGCAGGGGTGAGGGACATCTCACTGTGGTCTGATTGCATTTCCCTGGTGATTAGGGATGCTGAGCGTCTTTCCGTGTGCCTCTTGTACCCTCTGTACAGCCCTTCTGTAGTTGCTTTCACTTTGCTAACGGTCTCCCCTGCCGCGCAGAGGCTCTTTGGTTTGGTGTGGTTCTATGTATTGAGTTTTGCTTTTGTTGCCTTGTTCTCGGAGTTTTGAATGAGTGAATGACTTATATTGCTAATTTGACTAATTCATGTGTCTCATTAGTAAAAGCTTTTCTGGAACCACTAAATGTAACTTTTAACTGAAAGATTGGGGAGTATTTGCAGATGTTGAAATGCAAAAATTGGCAGCCAAACTTAGAAATCACCAAGTCACACGTAGCTCTATCTGCCTGAGACCCTGCAGATGTGCAGAGACTCTCATGAAAACCGCTTCTTGATAGGTTGTGTCAATCTAATGAAATTACATGGCTGGTTTTTTGTCGTTTGCAGAGTCAGCGATTGCAAGAAAGTTTGAAGAAAGTCAACCACATCAAAATCTTGGTATAGTATATAATTTGATCTGTTTTTGCAGTAAATCGCTTTTAACTTCAGCACCTTGGAATGACTTTTTCCAGATTTGATGCATTTCGATGGAATTGTGGCAACTCCAGTGAAACCACATTCTTTGGGAGAAAATCATGCATGTCCTGATGACATAATTCTACAGTTAGCGTAAAGCCTAGAGATTTGCACCATACATTGTTTGAACCCCTACAGTGCTTTTCATATAATCTGTTTGTAGTTTTATTGTTAGAATTGCACAAAGATTGAATAAACACCATTGACTTCACCTGCCCAACAATTTCAGAACACCCATCCTCCTGAAATGACAAATCATTTTGTCTCTCAGAATGCTTCGGGCTACTCTTTCTGAAACCTTCTGACACTAGTTTTTCTTTGCACAAAGGGGAATAAGGAAGAGAAAAGCAAGTGGCTCTGCTCTTTTCTTCCCGTGATATCTTCCTAAAGAGACCAGAACTTATTAGAGTGCTCCCTGGGGATAATTACTAGACAGGGAAATGAGGATTTAGCAGAGCTGATGGCCAAGTGTCAGTTCTGGTTTGAATCTTTTTGTGTTTTGCTTCATTGTATTTTAGAATTTCAGAAAATATATAGGTCAGATTCTAATTTAAGCAGAGTCACTGGGTGTTTCTTTGACACTTCTGCAGGATGGAGTTAAGCTTGTTAGTGCACTTTATTTCCGTCTTAGTCCGTGGCTTAAGCGCCTGGAGGGCCTGCCCGGCACTGCCTTCTGAGTGGGAGCGCGGAGCCTCTCACTTGGCCTGAGTTGATCCGAGTCCTCTCTTGGAAGAGGAGAGTGGCCCACTGGAGAAGCAGAGGGATGAGTGTACATCAGGAGACTTGGGTTCTCACTTCAGCCATAGCTCAGGGCCCCTGTGACGTTGAGTCACTCTTAACCGCCTCAGCCTGTGGGCTCAGCTGTCTGAAGCTCTGTTGGCTGGCCTCCTTTGACTGCGGACAGAGGAACACACATCCTGGACTAGACTACCAGAGTGAGCGGGCAGGAGTCAAGGCCAGGCCGGGCCTGTGTGCTTTCCGTCCCTCCCTTGCTGAGCCTGCTGGGGCCCCTGCTCGTGTCCTCCCTACTTCTTCCTCACCCTCCTCCAGGCAGGGAGGATCTGACGGGCTAGTTAATCAGCACTGGGTTTGGAGCATCTGTGTAAGGCCGCGTATGCCGAGGCATAAACCCTGCTCCTTCCTTCCTTCCAATAGCTGCTTTTCTCAGTAGAGGACACAGTAATTGGCAAACAGCATGAAGCACTGTGACCTGACAGTAATCAGTTATCATCATCATCGTCATCACAGCTGCTGTTTGTGAAATGCTTGCTGTGTACCCTGCACAGTACTAAGTACCTTACATGCATTATTTCGTATAACCCTCAGTAGTCTCCTTTGTACATGTGTTCCCTCTACCTGGAAACGCCATTCTCCTCAATTCTTTTCATGACTGATTTCTTATTCTTCAGATCTTAGTTCAAATATCACCTCTTCCTGGAGGCCTTCCGTGACCACCCTGTCTAAAACAACCCCCCACAGCCACCCATCACTCTGTCCCCTGGGTTTTCTCCTTTGTCACACTCACCACTATCCAGATTCATATTAGATATTTGTTGATTGTCTATTTTTCCCTTTAGGAGCTTTGCCAAGGCAGGGACTTCTGTCTTTTTGGTTTTTTCATGATCCTGTGCTGAGTATAGCACTTGGCATAGCGTAGGTGTTCAAGCGTGAATAAATCTGATCTGTTGTCGGATGCATTGGCTGCTCCCTTTTTACTGATGAGGAAACTGAGGCACAGCTGGGTTAAGTGAGTGCCCAGGCCACACAGCTAGGAAGTGGGAGAGCTGGGGTGACACCCCAAAGCCGTCTTCTTCACCATGGACAGTCTGGCTTAGGTCAGTTTACAGGAGAGATGAATGTCTGTCCTGCCTCAGTGGCCTGTGAGGAAGGGCAGGTCAGATGGTGTGTGGGAACGCAAGACGGAGATTGTCAGGCGTCAGAGTATGTCACTACGATGTCTGTCGGCTCTCGCCGCGGTCTCCGTATAGCACCATCATAGGTGCCGAGTCTCTGAATCCTCACAGTAAGTCACTGCGGTAGATGTTACTGTTTCCGTTTCTGTCGCTCCGATTAGTCACGTGTCCAGAGTCCCATAACTAGTGTGCGGCACAGCAGGACCTGGACCCAGGGTGTCTGAGAATAGCCGTGTCTGCCGCACACGGACTCCCTTCTCCAAGCTCCCGTGGGGCCGCCTTTCCCGTCTGGACAGCCCTTCAGGAGCCTCTCTCATCCCAGAAACCGACCTCTCCCCCAGCTCAGCACCCCCAGCCCCGAGGCCTTTTCCGGGGTACCCGGAGCCCTTGGGAACTGCATGTTCTCAGTGACTGGACAGGCTGCTGTTTGACTGCACTCTCATCCCGCACATGGGTACCTTCTGAAGTCAGCATGTAAGGGGACATCCCAGAATGCCCCTCTGGGGCAGTTATGTGGTTTTGTGTTTACGTCTCTGCTGGCTTTTAGGATTTTCGTTGTCTTTAGTGTTCTGCTAAGTAGGGTTTTTTTTTAAATCTTACTTGGGACTTGTGTTTATTTAACCTGAGGATTCAATTTTTTTTAATCAATTCTGTCGAATTCATTTTTTCAAGTACGACCTCTCTCTAGTCTTACCTTCTGGAACTTCGTTCGCTGCATGGTGCACCTTGTCCTCCCGTGTTCCCCCAGTCTCTTTGCTGCTTCTGTCTCTTTTTCCCTTTGCTGCCTTCTGGTGCATTTCTTCAGACCTTCCTCGAGTCCAGGAATTTGCTCTGGAGCTGCCTCTAAGCTGCCATTTAACCCATTCACTGCATTTTCACTTTCGGTGGCTTTTCATTTCAGGAGGTTCTCTTTTTCAAGTCATCCTCTCTTTTATAATCATCTTTTTTTTGACTGGTTTCTGGTCCTTCATGTCTCTATTTAAACATAGTTGTTAGTCTATTTCAGATTGTTTTGCTATTTCAATTTCTGGGAGCACAAATCGTCCTCTCACTGTGTCTGCTGGCTCTTGCTCCCTGGGTTGTATTTTTTTTATTATGGCCTGGGTATTGTTTTTCCTAAGGCCACTTGTTAGTTTCACAGCTTTAGGAGTCCTGCACCACACGGGACATGCAGAGCACACCGACATTTCCATTTCTCCGAGAGAAGTCTTTCCTCCCTGTACACATCCTCAGCAGAGTGAAGCTTCCTTGCTGGCAGCGGGTGGAGTTTCTCTCTGTCTTTTCAATAGGGAGTGTTTTTTCAGGGGCCCTGGCTGTATGCGCACTCACCGCTGTCCCTCTCATGGGCCTGAGGACCCAAGGCCCTTGACACTCAAGCCGAGTTCCAGGCCCACGCGTGCTCCCCTCTCCCCAGCCCCTGCAGCGTTCTTTCTGTTTGCTCTTTGTTCTGGATTCACCTTTTTGGTGAGCCCAGCAATGGTTAAACTTTGTTTTGGTTATTGGTAATATTTAATCCAGCACTTCAGGTATTTGGAATTGCCCACTTGAGTATTGGCTTAGTCTACCATGTTGCTAGACCCAGAATTCTATGGACGTACCCTGTGCAGGATTTTTTATTCACGCTGACATGTGAGACCCCCAAGCTCCGAGAAACAAACAGAAGACTGTGTATGGAAATCTTGGTGCTCACAGGTCCTGCCTTACGCTGAGGACAGGGCAGTGGGTGTAGAATTTTGTCACTTCTGTTCCTGTTTCCTTATAGTGCTTACATTCTATTTAAATATAAAGTCCCTCTAAATGTTAATAGATTTATTTGTTTATGTGACAGTTAAAGGAGCTAATAGATGTGAAAGCCCAGGGATTGGCTCAGTGAGTAATTGGCAGATTTGAGTATACGTCTTGCTCTATCTGAGTCACATCCATGTGGCTCTTTGAAAGGTTAGGAGAGAAGATCTTGGGCCAACTACTTCCTGTCTCTCCAAGTTAGCGTTTCCTGTTGGGGCCCTACAAGTGAGACATCGCACCTGGGTTTTATGACTGGAATTGCGGTACTGGAGTTGTTGAGCGCTTAGAGGTCTTCTCTCCCCATGCCCACCTCCCCCCACAAGTACAGTCTGTCAAGGGCATTGCCACTCTGTATCCTGACCCCGTGGTGAAGCTGCTGGCCGACTGTACCTCTGTTCAGTAGAGAGCGTGAGCTTGGTGCTGGCTTACCTTAGTGCAGTGAACGTTTTCATCTGTTAGGAAATCCACTAATGAAGCTAGTTGTCTGAGGCCCATCCTGAATGTAAGTATGGCTTCAGTGATTTAGAAAATACGCAGATTCCATTCCAGACTGCTTATCTACATTGCCCGCAGGCCTCGCATTATGTGCTGAGAGTGTTACGCGGTGAGAGGAAAGCACTCGTTCTCTTTTTTCCATGGGTATAGAAAGTTCCAGTCAATCCTGCTTGAGTTACTGTATTTCTGGATGCTTGAAAGCTTTGGCTCTCTCAGCACTGATTCTTGTTCCACTTTTTCCCTACCTTTTTTGATCTTTAATGTTAGACCTATGTTTATTCATTATTATTAAAATTTCCTCCTGCTTTAATTTCACTGTACCAGTGTCAGATATTATAATTCAGCAGTGTATTCTCGGAACTGATTTACAATTATTTCTAGGAATTTTACTAACCCTTGATTATTGTTTCTCTATCAGCTGAAATTGATCTTTGAACTGTAGTATGTATGTGTTAAGAAAGTACACCCTCCCGCCTGTGTCTCGCACTTGCTGTTCATTGCGCGTTCGGAACTGACGGCGTTTCGTAACCTCAGACTCCATTTTTCAGGTGGAGGATGAGCTCAGCTCTCCAGTAGTGGTGTTCAGGTTCTTCCAGGAACTGCCAGGCTCAGGTAGGTGATTTTTAAAAGAGAGTTGTTTTTGTAACTATGTTTAAGGGCTTTGAATGTTAAACCATTTCAAGTTAAATAGATAGTCCAAAATATTTTGCTTGCTAAAATCTTGAGTCATCATTTGAGAAAAATTTAATAATTTTCAAAAGAACTCCCGGCCTGAGTGCCTTAGCATTTTCTGATAGTTTCCTGTGATAAACCAGTGGTTTCCAAATGCCAGTCCCTGGGCTAGTGCTGGAATGAATGGAAAGGAGTCCCTTGAAAAGAGAGATTTGGGGCCCTGCTCCCTGCATATTTTGAGTCAGTGGGTTGGATCCGGGAATCTCGATTTTTAAAGAATCTCCCAAATGCCACCAATCTAGTCCAGGGCACCGTTATTTTTCACCTAGACAGACACAGTCCCCTCTCAACTGACCCCCCACTTCTGTGCATTCCACACACCCCATTCCAGACCGTTCTCCGCATGGCAGGCAGAGTGAGTGTTAGAGTGGAAGGCACAGCAGGTCACTTCCGTGCCCGCAATCCTTCAGTTATCAGTGTTTCAGCAGAATGAGGTCCCACCTCTGTCCCAGGCCTTGTAAGGCCCACAGGTTCTAGCCTTTGCCTTCCTCTCCGACTTCCTCTTAAGCCACTTTCCCTCTTGCTCGCTGTGCTTCGGTCAGACTGATCGTCTCTGAGTTTCTACAGTAGTCTGTTGTTTGCTAGAGCAAAACCTTTGCACTCGGTGTTTCCTCTACCTTGAACATGTTTCCCCTCACTCCTCTTCCTGCTCACTCCTCCCCACCAGCCAGGTCTCCATGATGTCCCACTCCTCGGAGAGGCCCTCTCTGTGCTGTCTAAGGGAACTCCCTCATGTTATGTCTGAGTCCCTGCCTTCTTTCATGGCACTCACAACAATGCGTCGTGACTTCCTTCCTTTATGGTATTTCTTCAATAGAATGTAGACACCAAAATGACAGAAACTTGTCTGCCTCACACAGCACCTGGCCGAGTAGGCACCCAGACCATTTGATGAAAAGAGGATGGTTCTGTTGTGAAGCCCTATTTGGATGCTCTTGGGTTCTCTGATTTACCTTGCACACTGCGTGGTAGTCTCAGGGTAACTTACAGCGTTACACTTGGATTTCCTCTCGAAATTCCTTGAAAGGACAACTTTAAATGAAATTAAGAATTCTGTTTGTGTGAATATATTCAAGTGTTCTGCTTTTCATGAGGAAAAATATGTGGAAATTTTAACTCTCTGTAAGATATACGTTTTGTAAAATTTTTGATTCTGAAAGAAACCATAAATTTACCATTTTAACCATTTTTTTTAAGTGTTTGGCTTTTTTTTTTTTAAGATTGGCGCCTGAGCTAACATCTGTTGCCAGTCTTCTTTTTTTTTCCTTCTCCCCAAAGGCCCACAATACATAGTTGTTTATTCTAGTTGTGAGTGCCTCTGGTTGTGGCATTTGGGACGCCGCCTCAACGTGGCCTAATGAGCAGTGCCGTGTCCACACCCAGGATCTGAACCAGTGAAACCCTGGGCTGCCAAAGTGGAGCATGTAAACTCACCCACTCGGCCACGGGGCCAGCCCCCACCTTAACCATTTTAAATGCACAGTTCAATAGTGTTAAATACATGCACATTGTTGTACAGGAGCTCTCCAGAAAAGAGCTTCTTCATCTTGCAAACTGAAGCTCCACACGCATTAAACACTAACGCCCATTCCCCCCGTCCCTCCCCAGCCCTGGCAGCCACCATTCTTTCTGTTTCTCTGAATTTGACTACTTTAGGTATCTCATGTAAGTGGGATCATACAGTATTTGTCCTTTTGTGGCTGGCTTATTTCAATTAGCAGCATGTCCTCGAGGTTCTCCCATGTTGAGCATGTGACACAACTTCCTTCGTTTTTAAGGCTGAATAATACTCCATTGTATGTATATTCCACATTTTGTTTATCCATTCATTGTGAGACATACATTTGATTTCTGTAATGTTTGAGACTTTTCTCTCGGATTAATGTTGGGAGCTAAGTGAAATGGGTTGGAGGGGTATGTGTTTTAGTTAGCTGTGTTTCTTGGAGGTGAATCCCCTTTCTGTGTTTTGCTGTCAGATCCAGTGCTTAAAGCTGTCCCAGGGCCCAACATGGCACCTTCAGCAGTCGGCCGGGAGAGACACTCCTGTGATGCACTGAATCGCTGGGTGAGGATGTGGTCCCGTGTTCTTTCTGCTGCCTCCCAGATGGGCTAACACATGCTCGTGTCTGGGAAATCAGACCCACAGGAGGGACCTCTTGTGAAGGTGCTGGGCTCCATTCTGGGTTCTTAATCACATCGCCACCTCAAGTACTGTGGGACTTCTGGCAAGTCCTTTCAACGTTGTTCCCTCAGGTGACCATTTCCTTGCTGCTCTGTAAGGCTGTAAAACAAGCAAAACGCAGACTGCAGTGCGGCCCTCTGGAGCGCTGGCAGGTGCTTATAGCAGTGTCAGAAGGCACGTAAGCCAGAGAGGCCTGAACACGTCTCCTCGTCTGGCCATCCAGGTCAAAGGCATTATGCTTCAGCTGCCTTTTAACACTGAAATGGTACCACTGGGATTTTAGTGTAAAGCACGTTTGAAACAGTGTTAAGGATGTTCATCACAGTGGTATCAATCCTAGCAAAATACTGGATATGCCCAACCTGGGGGGTTGGTGAATAAGTACATCCAGTGACATTCAAAACAGCGTATAAACCACGTAGCTGGATGTTTATGGCAGAAGGGAAATGGTCACCATAAATTACATGAAAAATGCAGGTTACTACACAGCATGTAGATATCATGTTTATGACAGCAACAGAAAATACAAACACAACAGAAAGACCCAGGGTGGGTATACCACATGTCAGCAATGGGTGTTTCTCAGCAGTGTATTGGGGTAATTGTTACTTTATTCTTTCCATTTACCTGTATTTCCTAGACTTCTCTAAAATGAACTTGTATTTTTTAGTAATAAAAAATATAAAATGCCCTGTTTTTAGAAAGAAGTTGCCGTAAGTATTCACAGAGAATGTAAAGATGAAAGGAAGCTGGACCCCCAGGAGCCTCTCGGGTCGTGGGGGGGGGTGGGGGGCGTCTGAGGATGCTTGATCCCCTCCCTGCACAGCGCCCTCACCCTGCCCTTTGCCTGCAGCTGGGAGAGCAGCTGAAGCAGCTGGTGCCCGCCAGCGGCCTCACTGTCATGGACCTGGAGACGGAAGGCTCGTGCGTGCGGTTCAGCCCTCTGACAACGGCGGCAGGTAACGAGCCCCTGCGGTCTGGGGAGCAGCAGCGAGCGCCTGTCAGGGGTCTGGGGGGCGGGGCTTGATGGCGTTCCCTTGCGGTATGCTGTTCCTCTCCTTGGAGACCCTTTTTCTTTTCTTTCAGGCTAAATGTAGGTAGATAGCCTTCCTCCGTAACTTCTCAGAAATAGAGATTTCTCAAGTCACTTGCATTCCTGTGTTTTGACGTCTTGTGACCCTTCCCTTTCCAGTCAGTGGCTCTCAGTCCAGACGGCACGTTAGTCCGCTGTGGAGCCCTGACCACTCCCACGGGCTGGGCCCCAGGCAGAGGTCTGGCTTACCCGGAATGGAGCCTGGGCGTCGGTAGTTTTAAAGCTCCTCTGGCGCTTCAAACAGGTCAGCGAAGGCTGAGAACCGCCACGTTAGATGTTGTAGACAGCAGGACAGCTGAAGCCCCTGGGCCTGCACGCCAGGCAGTCCCTGGTACCCGGCCCTCCCCAGCCTCTGCATGCCCCTGGGACCGAGTGAGTTCCTTGACCTCAGACCTGTTCCCCACTACCTCTTGGTAGCAAGGTGAAGACTAAAGCAAGATCAGGTACATGAAACAGTTTAGAGCACGCTTGGCATATTAAAGCAGGACTGAAAAATGAGCTGAAAAAAGATAGATTAAAAATCTGTGCTTTTTTCCTGAGATGTTTTCAACATTTTTGGAAAGAGATTTTCTCAAAGACGTGAAAGTAGGGAAATGCGGGCATTCGTCCTGCAAAGAAAAGCCATCACGAAGATGGCCGGTGGCCTCCGGATCTTCTCGGAGTCTCTGCCCCTGCTGTGCAGGGGGCCCCAGCACCAGCGCTTAGTCCCTCAACCTGCGGAAGCAGGCGGAGGACCCCGGGGCGGCACGTATTGAGGCTCGCTGAGACCACTTACAACGTTTGAGTCGCCAGAAGTGAGGGAGCAGTGACGTTGCCAAGACCTTGGAGCCCTGGAGGCCCGAGACCTCTCAGGCTGACCTTCAGAAATGACTGGGCACTGTTGTCGTCGCCCCCCTTCCTGCTCCCCACCACAGATCTGCCGCGGTCCCTTTCTCCCCGTGATGCTGAGGTAGAGAGAGCACTGTGTGGTTGCCTCTCTGCTTGGGGCCTGTGATGCGATGGTGTTTATAGCCTGAATTACTAAGCAGTCTCCGAGAAGACTCTGATGTCTGCATTAGAGTTTCATTGTGTATTAGATCGGAGGGGCTAATTCTGTCTTCTCTGTAAGAAAAAAATTGTGTCTACACCTGAACCAGCCGGCTATGTTAACTTTTAACACCTGATTCTTCCCTGTCTGGGTTGTATGGCTTTGTTGTTGTTTGAACGCTCAGCGCCAGCTAGTTGGATGCCCCTAGCGCCACCAACCTTGCTGACCGTGGAAGTGGGAGCAGCTGCCCTCTGTTGGCCATCCCTCAGGCGTTCCTCTAACACTCCTGAACGTCTTCAGCTTTAGGAACTCGGGCAGAGGATGTGGACCAGCTCGTAGCCTGCGTACAGAGCAAGCTGCCGGTGCTGACCTGCACGCTGCAGCTGCGAGAGGAGTTCAAGCAGGAGGTGACGGGGATGGCGGGCCTCCTCTACGTCGATGACCCTAACTGGCCTGGAATCGGAGTCGTCAGGTACCGGTTCGGCTTGCCAGCTGATGTTCATTTCTCTCTGCTGTATAAAGACCGTGGACAGGTCATTTTGTGAACCAGCTTAGAAATCTGAGATGAATATGTGTAGTCACGTACCCGGCTCAGGAAAATTCACCTAGATGTTCTGGGCATTCACAAAAGCACAGCAGGCGAGCTGGCCCCCGTTGCCCCCAGTGAGGTAGGAGTCACTGGATGTTCTTTTTCTGTGCCAACTCATAAGTGACGAGGAGCAGGTACATTCGGGTGTATCACTGACAAATACTGTCCACGGTGCGTGGAGAACTGCAGAGCGCTGAGAAAAAGCACGCGGTCTGCAGAGCAGACTGCTCCGTGCGTGCGGTCAGCATGCGCAGACCTCCGGCTGCACCCGTATCCCTGCGGGACGGGGAGACCCCCGCACCGCGCCCCGCTCTCCAAACGCCGTGGGCTGGAGATGTGGGCGCTCCTCGTGCCCTTGTTGCAGTTTTCCATCTCGAGAGCCTCTGAGCAGCTCCCTTGCCCTTTGTCCCATCCGCCTTCTCAGTGACCTCCACTAGCTTACGCTCCACCTGCAGTCCTGCGTCTGACGAGCCGTTTGATCTTCGAGATTGAAATACTGTTGTTTGCTATTGTTTATAGGTACGAACATGCAAGTGATGATAAGAGCAGTTTGAAATTAGATCCAGAAGGGGAAAAAATCCATGCTGGACTCCTGAAAAAGTTAAATGAACTGGAATCTGACCTCACGTTTAAAATGGGTAATTACTACTTTTATGAGTCAGCCGTGAACTCTGGAAGGCCATTTCTCACCAGCTTGGAGGACACGGTGGTTTAGTTCTTCCGAGGGTGGGAGAGCCCCTCCCCAGGCTTCCTGTCTCCTCATTGGAACCACCGTCCTCTCCCCGTAAAGGCGGCTCCTCGGCGTGTGGTGACGCTGTTGTTTCTCCCCGCAGGCCCCGAGTATAAAAGCATGAAGAGCTGCATTTACATCGGCATGGCGAGCGAGGACATAGACGTCTCTGAACTAGTGGAGACCATTGCAGTCACTGCCCGGGAAATTGAGGAAAACTCAAGGGTCTGTGAGACTAATCAGTGTCTCGTTCCTTTTCTGGGTTTTGCCTGGGCAGCTAGCTGGAGTCAGAAGGAAGAAGCTACCCTCAGAAATGTCTGTTCATTCATTCTTACCCAAAAAGTTTTTAAATGCTTCCTGTGAGCTAGGCATTGTGCCGGGCATCAGGAATGCCAAGGGGGTTTGACACGGTCCCCACCCTCAGGGAACTCGTGAGCTAGTCGCAGGAAGAGATACATACAACCAAGTGAGGGCGTAAATGCTGTGGAGTAGAAGTTTGGGGTGGCTGCGCATTCACGAAGACACAGTCACCTCTGCCTGACACGTCAGGGGAGACGTCCCGGCTGGAGTAGGTCCTGAGGCTGAATGCGACAGGCTTCTGATAACAGAACGTTCCACCAGTAATAAATAGACCTGCTTCTCTTGGCCAGGCTCAAGGCTTAACGGACATGCTCCATGGGGACCAGGCTGTAAGGCTTAAAGGACGTGCTCCACGGGGGCCAGGCTGTAAGGTTTAAAGGACGTGCTCCATGGGGACCAGGCTGTAAGGTTTAAAGGACGTGCTCCACGGGGGCCAGGCTGTAAGGTTTAAAGGACGTGCTCCATGGGGACCAGGCTGTAAGGTTTAAAGGACGTGCTCCACGGGGGCCAGGCTGTAAGGTTTAAAGGACGTGCTCCACGGGGACCAGGCTCTAAGGCTTAAAGGACGTGCTCCACGGGGGCCAGGCTGTAAGGCTTAAAGGACCATCTCCAAACCAGATATCTGAGTCACTAGAAATCATTCAAACAGAGAGATAGATTAAAGCAAGACTAGTGTGAGAGGAGACAGGAACACGTGTCACGTGATTCACTTTGGGTGGGGTAGGGAAGAGAAGGAAGTCTGAAACAAGGCCGACGAGCCAGCTTGCTTCATTCTCGGTGGACTTCTTGAAGTTTCTTCCAAACCCGACTACACTTCCGACTCCATTTCCATGAATGTGGAGCAGTGTGTCCGTTTCCTATTGAAATGACGTTCAGATGGTAGGGACGGTTATTTCTCCTCTCTGTTCCCTGCAAATGAGCCTGCCCACCAAGGTATGCCTGCAGAGGCCTCCTGGAGCAGTTACCCTCTTCCATTTGGTTTTCTCCTTCATCTTTACACTGATGTTTGAAAGTGCAGAATTCCGTCTACTAACCTACTTCAAAAAGTGTCCCCAGTGCTGTGCTGCGGTTCCTCGGCCCAGGCAAGCAGCTGAGAGAAGTAACGTCTTTCTTGGTCTTAACACAGCTTCTGGAAAACATGACAGAAGTGGTTCGGAAAGGAATTCAGGAAGCTCAGGTTCAGCTGCAGAAGGCCAATGAGGAGCGGCTTCTGGAAGAGGTGAGCCCCGCACCGGCCGCGCAGCGGCGTCGGGCTGGGAGCCGCCTCGCCGAGATGGTCTCGAGCAACGGTTGTGTTTTGCAGGGGGTGTTGCGGCAGATCCCTGTAGTAGGGTCCGTGCTGAATTGGTTTTCTCCAGTACAAGCTTCACAGAAGGGAAGAAGTTTTAACTTAACAGCAGGTAGGACTACCCAGCTTCCTCCCAGATCCCATTTGCCTTCATAGCTTTGACCAGACACCACGGGAGCCCACCCACGGGCAGCCTGGTACACCTCCCGTGCCTTATCACCAGTACTGTGCCAGCAGCCTGTCGAGAGATGAGACCTGTCTGCCCCGGACTCGCTCGTCCTCCCTCTCCCACCCCAACGGCTGAAATAGCACGAGAGCAGACACCCGCTGCCCACAGCTGCCCACAGCAGACTCCTCTTCCTGAAAGCCGACGTGAACACATGTTCCCTCAGCTGCTCAGTCTCAAGACAGTGCGTCTCGGGCATTTGGGGTCAGCGTCAGTGTTCCTTGCAGTCCTCATTAGTGCTCTGCCCAGCAGAGGGCTGCTTTTGAGAGAGAAAGTGGAAAGACTGCAGTCTGTAGCACTGGGCCATTTTAGTTCAGACTGGGCAACCAGCAAGGATTACCAGATGTTGCGATGTGGGGAAGATGGCACCCCGCTCCCGGACTCCTCCCTTCCTGTTCTCCCAGGGGAATCGTTCCCTGACCCTGGCTCCTCCTTACCCCTTCCCCAGGAAATGACGACCACACTGTCACAGGACAGCAGAGAGAGCCTGACTCTTACCCCGCCAAGCCTCAGCCTTGAGCAGAGCAGCACTTGTACCTTGTTGCTAAAGCACATTTCCCCCTTGGGCCCGGCTCCCCGGCACGCTGGGGCCACACTGCCAGGGGCGTGTTTTCATGTGTACACAGGGCACCTGGGGAGACGGGCAGGGCTGGCACTCGTGAACCTTCTCCAGTGCCTGGTGTGCTTCAGCAGCACTGACGTCTCCACCAGTCCACTTGAGGCTGAATGGCTAGAGCAGCTTATTGGAACACGGCTGAGTGGGGGCGTCTCCCGGGGCAGCCTGTGCCAGGAGCTTCCACACAGCCCTCTCCTTCCTTCTCCCGGCAGGCTCTCTGGAGTCCACGGAACACACATATGTCTACAAAGTGCAAGGGACAGGAGTAACACCGCCTCAGACCCCCTCAGGCACTCGCACCAAACAGAGACTTCCAGGTATGTCACATCTCCTTTGAGTTGGTTGACACTGAAGAGACTGCCGTGTTTCTCTTGGGAAACAGGCCTTTGCATCATGCAGCAGTTTCCCCCTTTGGTGTTACCTGCACTTCTTTGTTATCTTCATTCTTTAACCCCAAGTCCTATTTCTCTTCAGTAAGGCTAGCTGTCACCATCCCTTTACACAGCCGTGTCAGCAGCCTTGGGCTGCAGCCATGGAGAAATAGCTCTGTGGCCCTCCAGCGGGGAAGTTAGGGTGTGGAGGGTGCGCCCCATGTGTGACCGGGCATGTACCCCGCTGAGCTTTACCCAGCCTTGGAGCACGTTAGTGTCCTCTCAGCTCCTTTCTCGCCGCATCACTTCAGTGTCTCAGAGCCAGGGGCTCCAGGGCTTTCTGCTAAACGGCTTGTGTCCTTTACCAAGCTTTGAGTGCTGTTCGCGGGTCTTTCTCTAGGCCAGAAGCCTTTTAAAAGGTCCCTCCGTGGGTCAGATGCCCTGAGTGAGACAAGCTCCGTGAGTCATACCGAAGACTTAGAAAAGATGGAGCACCTGTCTGCTGGGCCCGAGCAGGACGCCCCGGAGGCTAACAGTCCTGAGCGACCCCCAGGGGCTCCCACCCCTCAGGAAGCCGAGCAGGCTGGGGCCCTCCAGAATGGGGCCCAGCGCCCCGAAGACGACCGCCCACAGGTAGAAGAACCCGAGAGCCTAAGATAAAAGTGTTTGCTTTGAGACTGTTCAGAAAGTTGTTTCAGGGAAGATGAAGTTATACTGAAAATGTGAACTGTGCCACATGCTAATACAAGAGGAATTACTGTTATTTGTGCTTTACTGGGATTTTTGCACAAATATGTACCTGAAAGCCAGGCTTTCTCTGAGGGCAATTGACTTGTCTCATTTTATGGGTGTGTAGAACAACCAACAACTATTGTTTCTGTCTACGCCACTGTAGTAATACCATTTTCCCCCAAGTTACCAGAAACACTTTTTATTCACAAAGAACACTTAGAATTTCAGGTGCCTGCCACTTGAAACACTTCCTCTTATCTTTCGAAACATAAGCGTGAGAAGTTCCTAGGTCGCACATGGAGCTTTGGTAAGAAGCTTCTCCAGAACTCCGCGGGCCTCTGCCCTGCCCTGCCCTGCCGAGGGGACACGGCATTCTTGGCCGTGCGTTTAGTTGGCGTTAGTTCAATCAGGTCGCAGTCTGCGGCTGCACTGTGTTTGGCTTGAAGGAGAACGGGCTTCGCTGGGACTGTAAATAAGAGTGTCAGAAGCCCTCTGTGGCCATCCCAGCTGCTGTCCCTGGAGACTAAGTAAGGACTGTGTCCATTCCGGCTGTGGCAGGGTCAGCGAGCAAGTGAGAGCGGCAGTGCCTCTGTCCGTGACCTTCCTCTGCCACAAATCCCTCTCCCTTTATATGCTCTGTAGACGAGTTAAAGACGCGCCTGTAAAGAGTCACTGTCAGGGCTCTTCTTGACCATATATATATATGTATATTTTTAAATACTGGTAAAGCTTTTAAATTGGCACACAAGTACAGACCGTGCTCATTTCTATGTTTAATATCTGAAAACCCGATCGATGCTACTCTTAAGAGCCTCCTATTAAATATGGTGTGGAGCACCTCGTTGAGTTTAAATTCTACACTAAGAATACTTTTGACCTGTTCCACACGGGAGCTCCTGTAGCTTGTTCCACTAGCAGCTCAGCCCTTTGGGTCCAACTCAGAAACAAGAACCAGAAAAGCAACCTTTGTCAGGCTGATCAGGCCAGACTCCTGCTGAAATAACTGGAAGGAAGCTCTTAATTACTGCCTGTTTCTACCTTTCCAGAAGCCCTCATCACTTCACTGACCACAGGGAATGGCCCCGGTGCCTTTTAGTCCAGCAAAGTCAAGCTCCTGGAGACCCTAAGATGGCAGGAATCACGTGGGGTTTGTGGGCCGTAGGACTGAAGCCTTAGTTTATACCACATGAAGCCTATAATGACACTCTGATTTGGTGGGATTTCTGACATCTGGCATTGTCAAAATGCGCTTTTCCTTTTTCTTTTTGGGGGCGGGGTGCAGATGATTAAACACAGTCTTCCCTGTTTATTTGGTGCAATGAAGTATAGCAGATAACATGGGGGAAGGGAGATTATCACCTTTAACAAGATTAATTTTTAACTGTTTTTATATATATTTGGAATTGTTAATTGGTTTTGCTGAAACAGAATTTCACCCTTGAGATACTATTTGAATGTTGGTTTCAATAAAGGTCCTTGAAATTGTTGCCAGTGAGTTCAGTTCCTAAATCTTACCGTTAATCAGGCATGGTGACTTCCTCGTGGATAGCAACTTCAGAAAGATTCAGTTTTCTAAAAATGTACCTTGCACAGTAACACAATTTGGGCATTTATGATGGCCTCACTACACCCGACAGAACAGCTTCATCAGAGGCTTTGTGTGACTCTCGGAGATTAAATTGTCTCATGGAGACGATCTGTTGTAGAGAGAACGGTACTGCAGAACCTGCGCTCACAGCCCGCTCTTCTTTCTGAAGCTGTCGTCTCATCCATCCAGAAGGACAGGTATCCGTTCTGGACTGGATGCTTCTAAAATATTTTGGGGCCAAAAAAGAAACCTCTGTGAGCTATATAAATTCTCACTGAATTTTACTGCATTTTAAGTGTTGTTTTTTAAACACTCAATTACAGTTTTTCCTTTATTCACTAATTTAGCAGAATTAGAAATATTTACCTAAGTCTGAAATAGCTGCTTATAGAATAGTGAGACAGGCATCTTCTCCTCTGCCCTTCATGACTAACCAAAAAGCAAAAGCTGGGTGTCAACTTTTTAGTAAAGCAAAAAGTAAACCTAAACAAATGACTTTGCCAAAATAAGATTTTATTTTGAAAGACACTGAGTGAGGGAGACCTAAGACTCAGCGGCTGTAAATTTCAAATTCATGTTCTTTCCAACCCCACCAGTGGTCTCTGTCCTGCCAAAAGGTTGCTTTCTTTGGTCATTCCTATTTTTAGCTTCCTGGAGAGATCTTCTCCCATAAGCCATCTTCATTTTTTTTGTAGAGTAGGGCCTTATTTCCAGGAAACAGTGTGTTGGTTGGAGATGGGTATTTTTTTAAAAACATCAAGGTAGATCTAATATGTTCAACAAAGTGGGGGGGCTCGGCCAGAGGTGAAGTGGAAAGGTTCTGGAAAAACAAGATTGGGGGCATGAGAGAAAAGTGACCTCACTCTGTTCCCTACTTTGATAAAGATATCAAACAAAGTCCCTTTGTGTTCCTTAAACATTAATCAGGATGTTCTCAGCTCGCCAAATCAATATATGTAAATTGTCAAGTTACATAAGCAACCAGCTACTCGGGAAATGCGGGAACGCAGTGGGTTGCTTCCTGCTTCGCCTACACAAATGTCTGTCCAGACACTGCTCGTCCTCAAGTGATGAAGAAGTTGGATGGGTCTGCCCATGGCATCCTAAAACAGCTGCTACCCACTGAAGGAAAAGCAGCTGTCACCTAGGCTGGACCCTTTCCTTACAGATGAGGAAACCAGGTTCCAGAGATTTAAGGCTGACCCCGCCTCTAATTCTCACCTCTAGTATCTGCTTATCATCCTGCTGCAGCCAGAAATCCACGTGTGGGAAAGGCATCCAGGAATACGGTCCTATACGAAGTTGCTCTGTCTTTGCATCGTAAATGCTAATCATCTGAAAGAACATTGCAGGGACGGGATTTAAGGAACGTTATCAGCCTGTCAGGCCCTGCCGTTCACGCAGGCTTCAGCGCAGTCTAGTACTTGCGGCCTTTATCTGGATGATAAGCGTCTTCAAAATTTTGTCTCATGATAACAAAAACTACTGACTGAATCCTTCCAGTGTGTCTGTGTGCACTTTGTGGGTGACAGACATGATTTTGTTTAGTCCCGACAACAGTCCTGCGGGAAGATGGCATTTCTCCCATTTTGGTTGAAAACCCAAGGCTCAGAGAGGTGGGGCACCTTGCCCACGGTCACATTTCCAGTAAGCCTCAGAGCTGGGCCTCAAACCCAGGAGTGTCAAGTGAGGTCCCTGTCCCTCACTGCTACATGAAGCTCGGCCTCCTCATCTACACCCCAAGCAGCAGTCACCTTGCAGCTTCAAAGTACACAGTGCCTGTTGCCCCATGAAAAGGAAGGAAAAGCCAATTGTAAAAACACTAACATGCCAAATGATCAAGTCTCTGAATGCCCAAATTTGCCAGTGGTAGTTTTCAGCTTAACCTGCAGTGTTCAATATTAGTTACTGAGACTGAAATATTAGCTAAATCAAGGCTATTAGGCTACTTGAGAAATTGCCAAAGGAATCCTAAAAATGTTACAGGGTTGGCAAAACTCGCCACTGAATCCAAACATCATTTTCCAATGAAAATGCCAGCATTTCATAAGTGAGATTTTTTTTGTGGTGCCCTGAATGTGATTTCTGTTTTTTCAGATTTTAAGCATTCTTAAAGGATTCTTTCACCCGTTCCTAAATGGCATGTAAGTCTTAGGTTTTTATTTTTTTCTAACTTTTAAAATTAAGACGTTACTTAATTAAAAAGCGCCCTCAGGCAGTCAGACTTTTAAACCGACTGGATCATTCTCTTGGGCTAACCCGTTCGTTCCAGCGGAGTGCTCCTCAGTGACCGGCCCAAAGGACCCAGTCTTCCCCATTCCTGGCTCTCCTTTCTTTATTGGAACTTTATAAGTTCTCACAAAGGAAAAGGGGTTCATTCTCTTTGGATCTGGATGCTGGGGGCTCACGTTACTTCCCTACAGCTTCAAGACAGAGCACTGGGTCTTGAGCTTGTACCCCATAAACATGCCTCATTCTTGCATGCAAGGATGTGGTGGTCCCTGATGATTTACAGCTTTCAGGAAGCTGACATAAACTTCTCATTTCTAGAACTTGAGGCTTTGGGATCTGGGGCCCTGGTTTTTCCTTAAGCACGTTACACAGATGATTTCAAGCTCACCGGCCCTCCTGTTAAAGCCCGTGCGGCCCGCAGCTCCTGCTCCGGGCCTCGATCCTGGAAGGAGGCCCTGTAAATCTCTGCGGTCTTGATGTTGACAGCTGTGCGGGACGACAGGATCACTTTGAGTTGACAAAAGATAAAAACGGCAAGTTTGCACAGTCTTGCATTTCCACTACCCCATGTAATAGCATCTGGCTAAGTCCCCCTCAACGAGAGAAAAGAGTGGAAATGGAACAAAATTACTCATAAGGATCTGTAGCTTCTCCCTCCGGGAAGGGAAAGTACAGCCTTTGAGCCAAGCATCTCACAGACACCAGCTGAGGCCTGAGCTGGACGAGGTGTGGCTGTTCCAGCCCCAGTGCCGCCCCCACTCGGGGAGTACACCATCTCTGCAGGCAGGCACGTGCCAAAGCCTCTGGGCAGCCCTGTGACCACACACGTCTGCAAATGGCTGGGGCCAGACGGGTGGCCTGTGACTGTGGCCAACTCTGGTGTTTCTGTTTTTTTACTGTTTCACACGTATACAAAGTTATAGAGACTAAAATAATGAACAGCTGTGTGCCCACCACCCAGCTAAGTAAGTAGATCACAGATGCAGTGGAAGCCCTCTGCAAAGAGCCAGCTTCATCATCTGTATCCTCAGGAGTCTGAGGGGCTGTCACAGGACGGAGGAGGGTTCTGGGTTTTCTCTAGCCTGATAGTTTTACACTTTCCTTTGTAAGATCTGTGTTCTAACCAAAACCTTACTTGGTTCCTTACATGTAAGAAGATTGAAATGCCCCGCTCCAGCCCCCAGAGCACGGGCTGGAGAAAAGCACAGCCGGCCGCCTCGGCGGGGTGGAGCGGAGCGCCACTGGGGCGGGGAAGCTCCCGTGGCTCTGCCTATGCTTTATATTTACGACCTTGTTTTCTTGTGCCGGTCTTAGGATGTGGACACTTCCTCTGTTTTGTAGATAATGGTTAGCAGGGTCCCCCAGGGAATACCCAGAGGAGCCAGGACTGGAACCTAAGGTTGTGACATCCTGACAGCAGCCGGCTCACTAGTTCCCTGAGCTGGCCTCCAACAGCAGCCTGCCTGGGCAGCATGTGGCCGCCTCCAACCCTCAAATAAACGCACTACTTACCAATGCCATAAATTATTGGGAAGTGGTTTTCATTTTCTTCCCGGTCATTTAATTCTGACAAATAAAAAAAAAAAACTTAAGATCTAACTTTAAAGAAATGCTAAACAATTGCTTTCCTTTTCTATAACGGAGGCCAAGCAGGAGGCCCCACTGCAAACGGGCACCAATAATCAGAAAACGAAAGGGACTGTTTTCCTCTTTCCCTGCCAAGTCCCAGAGCAGTCAGGTTCACACCGAACAAACTGCCACCTGGAGGGTCAGGGCCTCCCGCCATCTACACACTCGCCAATCTGCCATAGGAGATGTCAATGCCATTTGGGTCTGGTCCCTTCTCCTTCCCAGAGTACAGAGGGGGCTTCTGGAAATCTCAGGGAAGGGAAGATGAGTTGCACTGACAGAGGGTCAGGATCTCAACTGACGCTGAGCAGGCTCTGGACGTGGGGAAGGAGGGGAGGGCCATCCCAGCAGAGGGGAAAAGCCGGAACAGAAGTCAGCAAAGCGCCACCAAACTGTCTGCTATGACTGAGGTCCTGTGCGAGGTCCTGCTCTAGGGGGGAGGGCGAAATGGCCTTGAAATCAACACCTTTGTTTTGGGGAAGATGCAGCACTTACCTGTCACACACAATGTCACTAAGTGAATATCATCTTCTTGTCTGTCAAATTCACCTACAATTAGAATTGTAAAACTGATGTCAAAACTCCTTTAATTAGCAGAACATATGCTGACAAGTCAAGAGGGGACGCAGGGACAGAAGCCAGCTTCTCTGTCCCACTGCCCTTTCAGCTACAACCTGGCCCGTCTATCAGAGGCCACATCCGCATGAACGGACACCACGGAGCCTTGCTGGCCAAGACAGACAGGTTCCCAGCCTCAAGCCCCAAGGAAACTGTGACCAAGGCTTTCCATTCTTCTCTCCATCCTGGGGGGGGGGTGGGGGACAAACTGACTCACAAGATTTTTACTCTTTTCCTAGGTAACTTTTTTCCTGATTATCAGAGTCATAAAAGTCAGAGCTCATACCATGTAGACAATTTTATATCTTGATTTTCTGTACATATGTATTTTCCCATGTGATTCACACCTCCTCTTAAGTATTATTTTTTAATGGCAGCATAACTATTCCTTCACTAAGGGACATTAGGTTATTTCCTATTGTAAATAATGTCCTCCCGCCCATCTTTGGGCATAAACCTCTGTGCACATTTCAGATTATTTTCTTAGAATAGATTCCAAGAAGTGCTATTACTGGGTCAAAGGGTATGAACCTTTTCAAAGACTTAAACCATGATGCCAAATTGTTTTCCCAACAGGTTGCACAAAGTATATTCCAGTACTGTGTGAAGAGGCCTACCTCACTGCCTTAGGGTCAATTAACACAGAATAATGTTTAAAAAAAAAACAAACAACTTGATAATTTAATCTGGAAAAAGTGTTATCAGTGTTTTAATTTTCTGCAGATTAAAATAGACATTTCCGCCTGGAGGGTGGTTCTGCTCTTACACAATACAGTGTTGACGGTTTTGAAAGGTGTCAACTGTTCTTTTAAAAAAATCTTGTCCCCATCTCACGAGCCCCTAAACGTCCAGCTCTGTGCTCTGCAGTGTCTACGTGGGATTCCAAGCTGAGTGAGTCATGCAGTTCCAAGCAGGTGTGCCCTCAGGTTTGACTCTAATTGGGATTTTACCCAAACAAAACTAGTACAGATTTTTATCAAATTTAGGGGGAAAAAGTGGACTTACTAAGAAGTTGATGAGTAAGTTTTTGTGACAGCTGCCTGTCGTCGCTGAAGCCTCCCACAAGGTGCACTTCCAGCCTGGCAAAGAGACGGGACAGCGGTGAGAGCCAGCACAGCGCAGCACCGCGCGCACTGGTTTTCCTTAGAATCTTGGTCCTCAGCATCCTGAACTCCGCTCTGTGCAGTGCCTCAGGCCTTGCACGTGCCCGGCCCAGACAGAAGACAGTGTGGGGCACCCTGGAGGACATGGGGTGCTGCCGAGGCTGGGCAAGCTTCTGGGGTCCAGGTCCCCAGAAGCAGACGGTGAGAAAGGCTGCTCTGGAGGAACACGACTTCCATCGCACTGTTTACCCGCCCAAAGCAGGCTGCTGCCACACCCTCTCCAATGTACGCCTCAGGGGAAGTGGGCAGAGGACTGGGAGGCTGGCACTGTGACAGGCCTGTCCCGTGGAGGGCCTGAAGTGGACCGCCCAGGGGCTGTCCCCTCCCATGTCCACCCGCCTTGGCAAGAGAGCAATTAGCATCTTGGGGATGCTACAGCGGGGAACCAGGCCTGTTTCTAGAGCACAAGCTCATCCGCTACACCAGTCTTTCCCAAATCGTGTTCCCCCGAACATGGGCCACACGAGACACAAAGTGTGTTCTTGGAGTCAAACCAGTCGGGCTGTCTTGCCCATGCAGCCCGTCCCCAGGAGCGTCACAGCGCACGCTGGCACAGCAAGGCTCTGAGGGGTCCTGCAGGAGACAGAACCACGCTAACTCTATTCAACGCTGTTCCCCACGTTCATGTGTCTACCAACCCCTGGTCCACAGCGGGGACAGCCGGGATGAGTGCCTGGGGAAGTGCAGCCCCATCTCACACCGCCTTCTCCTGATGGACAAAAACCTTCCTGAGGAGTGAACCAGAATCTTCCGTGTAACCAGCACAGGGTGGGGCATCAAGTTGCCTCATAAGAAACAGCAGATAGCAAGAGCAGCCGTGACTTTGCTCGCCAGTGGGCTGCAGGTTTGTCTTCTGAGTCGCGGGTTTGGCAACCCTTCCAGTGACCAAGTTAGTTCTGTTCTTGAAGACTCTCTCAACCGCGTTCTGAGACTCGCTGGGCCGGTGGCGGGTCCAGCTACGTAATCGGGGCCCAGTGCACGAGGATGCTGTTCTGCGGCTGCACAGGCCGCAAGCCCGTGAGGCTGGCCCCACCTGCACCACAGACCCAGGCAGAAGCAGATTTAAATTCAAAAACTGATCTGTGCTTCTTTTAACCCCTGGGATTCCAAGAATGTGCGCATGACTGGCCTAGATCATTCGCTGGCTGCCTTAGACTTCAAATAAAATGAGAGCAATGCCTGCCACGTCTCCTCAGTGAGGGGACAGGGGAGGGGACAGGTGCGTGGGTCAGACCTGGGGAGCTGGCCTCCCTGTGACTAGCTGCGTGCTCTGGGTCAGCTGGAGCTCGGTGGCAGCGTCTGTGAGATGGAGGTGCTCACACTTCCTGTAACCGGGGCAGGGGCACAGGCTGAGGACGTCACACGCAGGCTCGGGGACAGAACCCGCAGGAACCCCTGCCACGCTGCAGCCCGCTGCCCAGCCAGCCCCAGGCCTCGTCCCCGCCCTGTGCCTCCGCGGCCCTTCCCGCCATCGTCCTCCCGCTCTGCTTCCTCGGTGTCCCCTTGCTGTGGCACGGGAAGGCCGTGGGGCAGGTCCTGGGCCCCTACGACAAGTTCTTGCTCACAGGAAGCATTCCCCAAATGTGGGCAGGAATGAATGAACGAGAGAACGAGTGAAGAGATGCCACATCCGGGGTTTCACAAGCTACATATGATCCGTGAGCATCGAAGGACGTTACGGAAAACAGACCCCAGGTTCACAGGCGAACCTCCCCCTCCCAGCCCAGCGCTGTGCCCTGCCTGGACCTGTCGGCTACTTGCTCGCTCCACACCACTGCCGAGGGGCCGACGCTGGGCCCAGGGCCGACGCAGGGGACGAGACGGCCACCGCGGCGGGGGCAGTCCATGCAGCTGTAACCCCCCACACACAGCTCCTCCCTCTACACGGCGGTGGAACGTTCCCAACATCTCAAAAGAGAGCAGCGGCGCTCACCTTCCACACTGAGCGTGGTCGGAAAAGGATTTGATGGAGTTCATGATCAAGGGCACCTCGGCTTTGGTGTCGGTTCCGTCACAGTGTGTCAGGCAGGTGGCCCCATTACCTGAAGAACAAGGGTGAAACGACTCAGGTTATTCCTGATGAGAGCTCAGGAAGCAGGCCAAGCCGCCTCCTGTCCATGCGGACTTCCTCTTCTCCGAACGTCCTGTAAGAGGGAAAAACAGCCAAGCCTGCGCTGCCCAGCCAACCCATTCTGACCAGGGCGACAGGGAGGTACCATGCAGACTAGAGAGAAGGAGCGGACTCAGGTTCCGAACAGGACACCAGGCAGCTCGAATCGAGGAACGAATGGTCCCAAATGTTGGCTCAGTTTAAGTAATGGTTTCCTTCATCTCTCTCGTCATACCTGTGTGCCTCAGGACCACAATGTGACAAGTGGTGGCATCATCAGAACCCAGAATGGAGATGGAGCCTGTTTAAAAAAGAAATAAAATAAAATATCCAATAGCCTTTGGGGATAATGCCCAATTCACTCCTTCCTAACCTACCATCCTCTGGGGAGGTCACTGCAAGCTCTCTTTGCTGAACATACAGAAGGCCCTGGGGTCCCACTTGCTGAACAGACTGACCTCTCAGAAGTCTGGCTCTTTCCTGTTCAATTAAAAAAAAAATAAAATAGTGATGGAAATTAGTGAGGATCGAGTAACTAGAGAGGTGGAGAGAGCCAAAGTGGGAAACACACACCCGGAGGCCTGAGGTGTGTGCGTTACTGACAGAAATGCTAAAACAAAAAGGCAGCAGTAATGGGCAAGGGGGGACAGTGCAAAGAAAGCAATGACGTTCTGGGGTTTTTTTTAACCTATAGAAGATTTTAGTACCTATGAAGTAAGATGCAAAAATCCTTTTTCACGGTTCTTTACGAAAGAGTATGCGACTCTTCACAATTGTACAATTGTCAAGAGACTCATTATATGCACTAGCAGAGCGTGGGGCTCAGCAACCACATCCCTTCTTTACTTCCTTGAAAGAGGAAGAGGGGTTAAGACTTTCCCCATTCCCGAATCTAGTAATCCTGCTTCTGGAAATCTGTACTGAGGAAATGACCCCAAATGCCTTCATGCCTGCGTTACTAACAATGGCAAACAGCTGGGGGCAACGACAGCAAAGGTAAGTAAATTACGCAGAACCAGCTCACAGCTACCAACATGAAAACATGAAAACCGAGACATGAAAACCCTGGGAAAATAGTTTTGAAATGGCAACTGGAAAACCAGATACAACAGTATAAAAAAAAATCTTTAAAGCTATAAATACGCTGTCAATGCAATAATGCTAAAATATTGCTACACGGAAGAAAAAAGTCTGGAAGGACATTCGCCAATATAAGCACGGCTGTGTTAGGACAGGGGGACAAGGCGATTTGACTGTGGCCGTTGTCATTTCTCCGTTCTCCAAATGTTCTATGATATCATGTTATTAAAGAAAAAAACCAAAAAGGCTCCCTCATAAATCAGCAAATTTATGAAAAGAATAAGTCAATATTAGATGTCAAAATTTTTTCTAATTGAATATTTGTATAAATTCTTATGCAGTAAGCCTGGGGGGAGGAGGGACCTCAGCTGGTTCAATTCTTTAAGGAAAATGGAATTAAACTTTTTTTTTTTTTTCAAAAATGTCAAATTGATACAACACTAAAATGTGACAATTTCCCTCTTACTGGCAACAACTAAACTTCTCAGCAAACAAATCCTTATCCAAATGTGTAAATACAGAGCATCTATGTATCATCTGGACTGGAGAATATTTTCATAGTCTTCCACAGGCTTCTGACCATTGCTCACGACAGCTCCTAACCTAGGTAAGTGCCTGCTTAATGAAATACAAGAGATGGAGAAAAACAGAATGACCAGCTTGACGAGTTACAGTGTTTCCTTTTAATAAACTTCCAGTAATTGGATGCAAGGCAGCAATAGAATGAAACCAGCCTGTCAGTTTAAGAAATGAACTACAGGAGCCGGCTCCGCGGCCTAGTGGTTAAGTTCAGCATTCTCTGCTTCGGTGGCCCAGGTTCAGTTCCCAGGCGTGGACCTACACCACTTGTCAGCAGCCACACTGTGGCGGCGACCCACATACAAAATAGAGGAAGATTGGCAACAGATGTTAGCTCATGGCCAATCTTCCTCAGCAAAAAATAAAAAGTAAACGAACTAAAGATCAAGTGAACTGCTGTGTCAAATTCCAAGGGCAGGGCAGCTTTGCTTGCCGGAGAGGTCACTGAGAAATAGACGTGGCTGGCCGCTCCAAAACTCAGAACCCCTCGTATCCACGAGCTCAGCGAGCACCAGCTCAATGAGTGCTTTTCATTTTCACACAACTTCCCACCTCCCCTTAATTCAAAACAAGATAAGGGAGAACTCAGCATTTCCTCTCTGTTATTCCTCTAATACTTACCTCTTGCTTTGTTCTTTTTTGGGCGGGGGGAGGGAGTAAAGGCAAATTTTTACCGCTCATTTTCACAAGTGGGTCACCACCCCACAGCAAAGCTGTTTGTGAGAAATGAACTATCACTTTCACACCCAAGACCAAAAATCATGTCTTTTTTCCGACACACCTCCCACTACTTCCCAAAGAAACAGCAGCATAAATTATCAGAGGAGAGTATGCCACAAAGCTAAAACAGCTTGTGGCTTTGGTCTTCCACTTTAAGAAATGAAGACAGTTCGGCCAAACGTCTCTGCGGGGGAACACGTCGTCCTGCTTTATAAACTCACATCCCTTCTGAAAGAAAACAGCCCCACTTTTCTCAAGTTTTAATCCGCTCAGCACACTCAGATTCACTATAAAGATCTTTCCCCTCAGCCCTCTCTGCTACCCCTCCTCCTCGGTTCCCAATTCCTATTTAATGGCACCGTCCTCTTAACCAGGGGTCAACAAACTTGCTTCTGAAAAGGGCCAGACAGTAAATATTTGGGGCTCTGCAGGCCGTGTGGTCTCAGCTCTGGTGGCGTCGCAGGAAAGCTACGCAGACAACACGTAAACAAATGCATGCGGCTGGGTCCCCAAAAAACTTTATTTGCGGGCCACACAGAAATTTGAATTTCACATAACTTCACGTGTCACAAAATATTATTTTGATTTTTTTCCAACCACTTAAAAATGTAAAAACCGTTCTTGGCTCACAGGCTAGCCACAAACCTGGCCTGGGGCTGTGGTTCATGGATTGCTGGGTTAGCCAGTCATTTAGCTGTCCCCTCGGGGATGCCCCCGACCCCTGCTGCCTGATTCTGTCAATTCTTCCTTCCAAACAGGAGAGCTAGCACAGAAGCGCCTTGTGCCCTGCAAGCCCAGTGGTGTGGAGGAAATCGTTATTAATAGGCACAGCTCTCAAAAGCCAGCCCGCCTCCCCGGTCCCACTCGCGCTGCCTCACTTCAGTCCTTCACTATTTGACACCTAATTCCCACAATACAATTTACGAGAAGATAGCACATCGATGCCGGGTGGGAGGCCGCTGCCTTTCCCTGAGCGACCCTGGGCGGGCTGCTGACCCTCCGTGGAGTCCACTCTGCAGCCCGTGGGAGGAGTGACAAAGCGGCTTTGCGGTGGGGGCTGTCTCCGTCCCCCACCGTCCTCCCCGAGGGCTGCCAGCATCACTGCGTCCCAACGGTGACTCTGTTACATCACGTTTCTGCTCAAAAGACCCTTCGGAGTCCAGCAATTTCCCTGGTAGGAATAACGACGGGGGTTTATAAAGACGTAGCTCCACGAATGATCATAATGGCCAGAGATTATAAATATCCTGCCTGCTTAAAAGCGGGGACGAAGTTACGGGGCTTTCATACTGTGGAACTCTACGGAACCGTTTCACGCGATGTCGCAGGACTGGTCACTGCGCGTCCAGTGACTGGTGAAGAGCAAAGACTCTAGACGGCAGCATCCAAAGGAACATTGTGCAGTGATGGCAATGGTCTGTACCTGCGCCCTCCTGCAGGAGCCGCTGGCCACACGTGGTGGCCGAAATGAGCACTTGAAATGCGGCCAATGCGCCCGAGGAACTGATCTTTAACTTTTATTTAATTGTAATTATTTTAAATGTAAATAGCCACACGTGGCTAGTGGCTACCGTTTGTGAGCGGTGCAGGTCCAGAGGCAACGGCAGACTGCCAGGGTTCCAACCCACGCTTCCCCACCGACAGGATGCAGGACCTTGGGCAACTTAACCTCTCTGTGCCTCACCGTGCTCATCTGTAAAATGGGAACAGCAACAGCCCCTGCTTCATAGGACTGTGATGCTCGGCAAGTCCCACCGCATTACTATGATCACTATTGTTGTTATTCTATGCTGGGCAAGCTATGCACAGGCTGATAACTGCCAGTACTCGATACTCACAACACACCGCTACGTGAAGAAGACACACCATAAAAGAGAATATACAGGATGCTATCGTTTCCAAAAGTGTATCATAGACAAAGAAAAACCTCTGTAAGGATATTTACCAAAATATGAAGGGCAGTTGTGGCCACAGATTCTTTTTTCTTCTTTTTGATATTTATATTTTCGATTTTCTTACAAAGGGGACACACTACTTGTTATAGAAAAATAATTAAACCTTTCACTTCTCCCCGAGTGCTTTGTGGTTGACAGATCCATCTAAACCCCTCCGATCTGATCTGACTTCCCTCCTCGCCCTCTCTGTGCCAGGGAAACTGGCCGGTCCACTGGCCCTCGGGGCCCTCCCCCTCCTGCCCATCACAGCCCCTCTAGCTTGCCCAGCGCCCTCTTCCCCTTTTCGAATCTCTCTCCCGCCTCCATCCTTCTGCCCTTGGACCCCTGCAGACCAAAGTGACCCCCCACATTCCGGTGACGCAATTGGTCCCCACTACACGCCCTTCTAGGCCACATCTCCCTAATCGGGCCATCCCCACTCTCCCCACACTCCGCGTGCTTGCCAGGGACACGATCTTTCTAACTTTCTATCACAGAAATTTTCACAGGCATAAAAACGGAGCGTCCCCTAAATCCTTCAGGCAGCTGAAATTTTCTTTCCCTTGCTGAGTCCTCCTCCTGACTTCCCTAGTTAATGGGGCGACAGTGACACAGGACATCCAAGGAAAGTCCTTCGCAGGATGCCTGGGGGCCGCTCAGCGCCCAGCACGAGCAACGTTACTACTGTTTCCTTGCAACGCAAAGTTGAGAAGCACGTGGAGCTGTCCCTTTTCCCTGTCGCTACGTCCTCCTCAGCCTTCAGTCATCCTGCTCAGTCCTTTGCGTCACAAATATTGACAGAGCGCAGATGCACTGCCAGGGACTGCCCCTGGCTCTGAAGACACGGGGCAAAGACACACAGCGCGGCGGGCTGCCTTCAGGAGGCATGCATCCCGGGACAGGTGAAGGGGGAATAAACCAAGCAAGGCAAGATAATTACAGACTGTGCAGCCGTGACAGAGGAGATCCCAGTACACCGTCCCTGAGCCCACGGACCCGGGCCAGTCCTTCTGCTTCATCTCTGAGCGCAAAGGGGCGTTTTCTCCTCGTGGCACTTTACAGTTTATGGAAAGGGAGCCACTCTGGGATGAAAAGCCACCCTCCCTCCCCAGACTGTAAAGGCCCTGACTGCAGAGACAGAGGCCAACAGGTACCCAGCTCCCACTCGGGGCTCCGTGCGCATCCCTTAGATGAATGACTGATCCCCCTTGACCGGATCTGGGGCAAGTGGGAGGTTTGGTCCCCACTTTTTTTTTTTTACAGTAAGAACTCTTTTCCAAACAGTCTGGGCACACGCAGGGACCAGGGGTTCGGAGATCTATTTGGGGACAGAAGCAGGAAAAGAAAACAAAACCCTGCCATCAGGGCGTGGTCCTCGACCCGGCCCAGCTGGGGAAAAGCAGGGCCCTTGCTTCCGGCTAAAAATAACCCGGGGCCCCAAGCGCCAGGCTGGGGGGGAGACGAGGGACCCGCCAGCATAGCCCTGCCCAACCCTGCCCGAAGCCCACCCTGGACAGCCTCCTGCTTCCTGGGGACGCAAGGACGATGCGGCGTTCACCACGGGGTGGGGATCCCCGCGAGTGCGAGCGAGCAGGGGCGGCCGCCCGGATTTGCCCAAACGGGCCAAGTCCACCTTGGGGGCCGGGACTACCCTGTCTGGGAAGAGGGGGTCCCGGGGTGTCCTCCGGCCGCGGTGCTGTGCGACCTTGGGCAAGTCGCCTAGCCTCTCTGGGCCCCCGTCCCCTCCTCTGCTAGAGAGGGGCCTCGGCAGATGCCCTCTAAGGTCCAAAGAAGGTAAAGCTCCACGGACGCCTCAAGCGAAGGCACAAGTCGGCGGCCGGGGTTCCGGATGCGCCAAGTTTCAAGGCTGTCCCCGGGGAGAGCGGGGGCAGGCGGCGGGGTGAGGAGGGCTCGGGCCCGCCCGGCAGGTCCCCTCGCGCCCGCCTCGAAGCCCCGCCCGGGCCCTGCTCACCTCCAGAGGCGGGTGGGCGCGGACGAGGTCCCCGGCGGACTGCGGCAGCCGCACTCGCCGCCCCTCGACCAGCAGCGGCATCGCGGAGGCGGCCGCCCCGGCAGGCCCAGGGAGGCGGTGGCCTCGCCAGCCCCGGGCCGCCCGCCCGCCCGCCGCTCCCGCCCTCGGGCCGCCCCGCCCCGCCGCGGGCGCCGCCGGGAATTAGAGTCCGACGGAGGCGGGGCAGCCCAGACAGGCTGAGGAAATCTAGGGCGGGGCCGCAAGGCCCCATGGGAAATGTAGTCCAAGTGCGAGGGCGTGGCCCGCCGCCAGCCTCCCCGCGAGGGCCGCTGGGAAATGTAGTCCCGAAAGCGTGGGGATGAAGGGAGGGAGGGAGGGCAGCTGCGCCGACCGGGAAAGCCTAGGTGCTCAGCGCCTAGCTCAGTCCGCAGATCCGCCGACCTGGCAGGAGCGCGGGCTCTGGGGTCTGACCGCCTCGGTTCAGAACATGGCTCTACCTTCCCAGTTTTGGAACCTGCTGTGCCGCTCCATAGGTCTGTATCCGATGAATAATAAACGTAAACCGTCTTAAACTGGGAAAATAGAGCCCAAACTTTGCTAGCCCCGCACATTTAGAAATCAATAGCACTTGGTACTGGGCTTCCAGCAGGCACTCAGAGACGGGATGAAAACCCCGGCAGTGAAGATCAGTAAGACAGTCCCGTCCCCACTGAGGACAGGTACCCGGTGCGAGGCTTCCCACCTCGGGGCTCCCTATCCTGCACCTTGGAAATATACTCAAATAGATCCGACTCCGAGATATATTAGCAAAAAGTAATTCCACAAAAGACATAGTACTGAGATGGGGGAGTCGCCTCACAGAGCAAAACTATTAGAACGCCATCCTCTGAAGTCCACCTCCTCTCACGCTTTTCGACGTCCCGGGGGGATTCCAGGACGCAGCAGGGGTTACGAGCCCGTAAGGAACGACGCCTGGCAGGGGCAGCACTCCGGCCCTTCCTCTTCCCTGAAGCTGGTACCAAAGAGGTCACGTGGCTGAAACGGAAGTTGTCTTTGCCTTGAGAAGACCTTTCCATAAAAGTGCTTCCTGCTTACCCGGCCTTTCTCACAAAGTGGCCAAACAGCTAATAACGGACTTGACACGGGTTTTCACCAAATCCTCACACTCCTAAAGTAGGTATTAGTTATTTCCACTTTACAGCTCAGTTAAAGTGGAGCTCAGAGGGAGGCTAGGCAGCTTGCTCAAGGTCACACAGCCAGTTAGAAAGAGAAGCCAGGTCTGACACCCGTGATACTTTGTAAGTCATTCATCTTTTCACATTTGTGTAAATTAGCCACTTCTCATTAAGGAAGACCCGACGACAGCAGACACAAGGATGGACCCTGCAACTCCTACCCCAATTGAAAGTCTGCTTTTCGGTAAGAGGGATAGAAAATCTTTTGTTTTCATATAATTCCCAAGATTTCACAATTTCCGCACCCCCCACCCCCCCCCCCCCCCCCCCCCCCCCCCGCCGCCACAGAACAGATATTCCTTCAAGCACGTACTTTTTTCTGAGGAAGACTGTTGCTAACATGTTGCCAATCTTTCTCTTTTCGCTTGAGGAAGAGTGTCGCTGTGCTAACACCTGTGGCCAATCTTCCTCTATTTTATGTGGGATGCCGCCACAGCATGGCTTGATGAGCAGAGTGTAGGTCCGTGCCCAGGGTCTGAACCTGTGAACCCCGGCTGCTGAAGCAGAGCGCATGAATCTAACCACTACGCCACTGGGCCAGTAAGCACGTACAGTTTTTTGAAGAAGCGTTTGTTTTCCTTGGCCCAGTTCAAGCCTCAGTCGCTCTCGGCAGGGTGTGATCGAGGAGGGTCCTGATGCCTCATACGCACCTGGAAGCCGTTCTCATCACCAACAAGCAATTCAGTTTCGAGCAGTTGCTATCACACTGGCAAGGTTTTCGCCTCTTTCGTAGTCAAGTCTCAGCTGCAGTTTTCTATTGCAATACGGTGCTTTAACACAGTGGATCGGTAAAAACCACACAGAAATCAAAAGGCCATCTATGTGAGAAGCCTCTTTATTGTAACTCCCTTTACTGGCATAAGACCAAAAGTTCCACATTAACCATGTCATTGTTTTATTTTCACAATGGATATTTTTCCCCTCAAATTCCTTTGAAATTAAAGACTTATTTGTAAATACATCCTTCTACATTAAAACTACTTCCCAACCCACAGAGACCCCACTTACCATTAACTCCTATGGACACGTTTTCATTTACTCATTTTATCCAATGTACAACAATCCCACCTTTTTGTCAGCAGTTAAAAAAACAAAGAACCTAAAGGTTCTAAAATGACTTTTCACCAAGTCAGCAAAAGAAAATCATCAATATCCAAAACTTTTTAATGCAATAAAATTTTGATTTTCAAAAAACATCTTTGCAGACAAATTCAACCTCTACATTGCCACCAATATAACCACACAGGAGCATACAAAGTCCTGGGAAAGAGAAAATATTTCATTACAAAATACTTAGGATCAAGAAAATACTGCTTGCCTTTAAATAAAGAATAGGAAAAATGGCATAAATATGTTGAAGGATGTCCATTTTCACGAGTAACAAAAAAGTACCCAAGTAAGGAATGAAGCTAAAATACACATGAGCTTCAAAAGACTCTAGCAGTGCTTGCACAAATGTGATAAAGCGAGGTTATTTAGACTCCTCTCTGTGTTTGGTTATAAAAATACAAAAAGAGCCTCGCCGGGAGCATTTCACTGGCTGAAATCATGACACGGACAGCCAGCAGACAGAGACGACAGCTGCAGCCTTGGCCTACTGTTGCCAGCAAAACCATTCCACCAAATAACCTAAAATTCCCCTCACCTCCCATTTGGACAAAGCAGTTCTCAGAACGACCAACTGGTTTTAAAAAAGAAAAAACCCAGTGCAGCATTCCACTGCAGACGAGCAGTTCCCGCTCTCACGGCACTCTCAGGAGCCTCAGGGGAAAGGCCGTACGCTGTTTTTTACAGGAGTCCAACCCCTTTCTCGGTCAGTGTGAATTACATTCACCTGGAATTCCACTTGTCTTTTAAATCCATTTTTACACTCACAAGTGATGATCTGATTTTGTTTCCCTAAATCCTCTCTCTCCTCCCTCCAGGCTTTTACTGGTCTCTGAAGTCCCTGGAGATCTCCTTCAGTGCCAGCTCCGACCTTCAGCATCCGGGACCAGCTCTGGCCATCTCCCCACGATCCTCCAATCTTCTCTGCACTCCACCACTGAAATCCCCACACACATAGACAGTCACAGCACAGGGTAAACAATGTACCCAAAATAAACTCATTCGAAAAACTTTAAATAGTGTCCTAGAGGGTTTTTCACTCAAAAGAAATCATATCAACAAAGTCCAGTGAATATGGCTCTGACAAAAGCCCACGTTAAAAATGCAATCTGTTAAAATAGACTGTTGCCGATAGAAATTTCACAACAATGATGTCAAAAAGCTGTAACACACTCAAGAGTATACAGTAAATAAAGAAGCCGAGCCTCTAACATTTATCATCCACTGTAAAACACTGCACATGATATTCAGTCTTTCCTGTTGTCTGCACAGGAGCAAAAAAAGAGAAAGAAATGTCTGTTCAGGCACGAGAGCAGGTCTAAGTTGAAAGGAAGATGCCTGAGGCACGCCCTCGCTCTCGTTCAACACAGTGCTCCAACAGCACGACCCCTGGGCCTGAAGGGCACGACTGGGAGGGAGGTATGCCTCAATCACAGACCCTCGCGATCAGCGGGGACTGGTCCGGCAGGTATAAGACAGGTGGGGAGCCCACACTACTTGACGGACTTCGGAAATGTGTGTCGAAGGAGCTCGGTGTAATCCCAACTTCACCTTTCAAAAAATCATCATCTTCATCTTCCACCGTCTCCTGCATAAAGAACAGAGATTATTAATAAGATCACAAGTGGGGGTTTGAAAACCTTTCAAGAATTCCCTTCCTCAGGAATGTGCTACTTCTGGATGAAGGTGAAGAAATCACCTTAATTTCGAAAGCTCCCTCTGATGCCCACTTCTTTTTATGAGCCACCTACACAATTGCTGATGACACATTACAACTATTTGTTTAAAGTCTGATTTTTTAAGATTTTAAGATCAAAGGCGGCAGGTAACAAGAAATGTCATTCTTGCTCATGTTATAACCCTTCTATGTAACACAGTGTGAATGAACGAATGAATGTGCGACGCTCCCCAAACGCAAGATATAAAGGAAAAAATGAGTTTTCCAATGATTACTTATGAAAAAAGACAGGCACATTAACACTGACATCTATTGTGGAAATAAATGTGCCACAAAGAAATGACAGTGACATTTTTTATTATTGGATTCTGATTTTATTTTTTTGGTAATAAATACATTTTTTTTGGTAAAAAACATTTTTTTGGAGCTGCCTGGGCTCCACCTGAAGCGCCCTTGGAGGGTGCACTAAGGACCCGCATCTTTACCACCAATTCATGGAGATCTACAACATCAACACTAACTTCTGGGACAAGGAAATTTGAGAGAGTTACTTGGTGGTAATGACCCAGTAGTGAAGATCTAAACTTACTGAGCTGATTTTTAACTAACCTTCACTTCCCGAAGTCAGCATGGGTAGTGTCTGGTTTAAACAATTCACGAAAAAAACTAAAACTCAAGGCCAGCCCTATGGCCTAGTGGTTAAGTTCGGTGCACTCTGCTGAGGCGGCCCGGGTGCAGTTCCCGGGTGCAGACCTACACCACTCATCAGTGACCATGCTGTAGCAGCAACCTACATACAAACTAGAGGAAGATCAGCACAGATGTTAGCTCAGGGTTAATCGTCCTCAGCAAAAAAAAAACAGAAACAAAAAACCTCCTTTCGTAAGAAGAACGTAATAACCTGAGCTGGGAATTCTGTAAAGACAGAATGAATGCCACGTAGAGGTTTTTAAGTGTAACACTGCATTTACTATTTTACTGTGATCCACAACCACAGAAGAGATTCTTAGGAAGTGTGCTCAGTCACAAATTTACCTTTTTAATGGGTTTCTTAAACTCTTGAAGCTCTTCTGCACTCACGTCTTCCCATATCTGATAAATAGGATCAATGAATTTCTTGGACCTGTCAACAAAGATCACATTTCAAAATCAAGGTAACTCTGCAGCAAAGGTCAGAACATATTTAGCTCTTTTCTCATAAGACCCATTACCCAAAACGAAGAAGTGAAAGCAATGCCTCAAATAAGCATCACAAAATCCATTATGTAAGTACTGTAATTAACGTGGCTCTTCCTTTGTTGTAAGAGTTCATCCGCTCATAGTGGTGGACTGTTACACCTACTACTTCTCATCTTTTCATGTTCAAGTGAAATTATTCCTCAACTGTGCAAAGATGACAATGAGTTATAACATGTCCAAATAAAAGCAAAAGTAGATTATTCTGGATCTTCCTTTTTTATATTCCTACAGCAATTTACTAAAAACAAGTATGGGAAAAAAGACCAATCTGGTTTTAGTCACCCAAGACTTGGGGGATCAGATAATCCCAAACTGCTGTGTTGCTAGTGAGGAAGTGTAATGAGCAAAACCGTATACGAACGCAACACTGAGACTGGGCTGGTGGTTCTTCAGAATTACCCACCCAGATAAACCACTTGGTTTTTGTTTATCCTATGCAACAGTATGGGTGTGGTCTCTAGAGGAAGGAACAAGTCACTTGGCAGAAATTTATGAGCCAAGAAATGGCAGCATCCTCCCCATTCAGGCACCTCTACCCACTTGCCCTTGTATGTTTAAACCAACAGGTTTAAGGAAAAATGAAAAACACTTGGTATCGATCTGGGTTCCCACTGAAGTAAAGATGTGCAAACCCCAGTGCGTCTCGGACGCTCGGGAGCCTCGAACAGGAATTCTCTACTTTCAGCTTGTGAAACATGCAAGATCGTGAGACTCTACTAAACGGCCAGGAAGGGCCACTCATGACAAGGAAATCCTAAACTCCCATCTTGGCAAAAGCAAATACACATCACATTTAAATTCACCACCGAAAGGCCAAGTGTCTCAGAGCACCCACCTCTTAAGCACACAAGGATCGAAGGGGAAGAAGGTGTCGAGTGGGTTTGTGCAGGTGTGCACCGAGTCCCCTCCAGCTGTGCTCCTGACGACCGGCAGCATCTGGCGATTGTTCCTCTCGATGATGGTGTAGCAGAAGACCAGCTGGTACTTACTGCAGGACAGCAAAACCAACAGGGATGCAGGTGTTAACATGCGGGATTGCTCTGCATGGACGTGCCCGCTCACGGGTGCCAACTACACTGACCACACAGATACTGCCAGACAGGACAAGCACAAGGAAAAAGAACATAAAGCAGAAAGTAATGTTTTTAGGGTGGGTAGAGTTCTCTGGGCCTACAATTTACAAGTTCGCTAAGGAGAAAGAAAATGTGGCCATCACTCTAAGAATATGAGCATGAGCTTGGATTAATAGGCTCACTAAAAATGTGTTCAAGGTACAACTCTTTCACTTTGCAAAATCGTACAGCTGTCTTTACTTCTTTATTTTCACTGTTTGTAAGAGAATTAGTGGGTTAGTGAAAAGGATTTACTGAGAGAGAACAGTGGCTGTTGATGGAGAGACAGCTGCTGGAATGAGGACTGCACTGCGGGAGGGACAAGGGGCTGACTGAGTCGCGGTCTCAGCAAACGGTACAGAAAGCAACAGGCATAGTGAGTGAAGAGTTAAACAGACAGAAGAACTCATAGCAAAAAACAACAGGATCATGCTATCATTTTTCTGGTGGTTACGTCCCTCCATATGACTTAATGACCTTAAAAATCATTCAGGGGACCGCTTCTTTGAGACGAGGATGTAGCTCACTTCTGCCGACTCTCTACCTTCCACCCTCCCTCCCATAGTATTCCTGCAGCGATTTATTCTCAGGGTCTCAGGTCACTATTGCCATTTTAAGCAACATATGTCTCTCTTTGTTCCATTAGCCAAGGATCACATTTGACTCCTTACTCCTGCCAGGAGGGTAAACTGGCAAAACCAAACTGGAGAACAGTTTGCACTACCTGCCAAAATTGAGGGCTGCATCTCCCACGACCCAGCAACAGCACTTCTGGGTATGCCACAAGGAGCATGTGCCTGTACACACACCAGGACACACATACGACAATGTTCCCACTACTGAAAAACTATCACAGCTTCAATCCCAAAAAAGAATAGACCAAAAAAAAAAAAAAGAAATTAAACATTGCATGGCAGTTAAAATCAAAATCCAGCTGTATGAGTCAGTACAACTTTTGTAACCATTAAATAAGCAAAAGCAGCAGCTACAGAATGATACAGGAATTCCCTGGCACAGACTTGACTTCCATCTCTTGCTCCGAGCCTCAGATCTTACTGCTAACCTCCGCTGCTACACCAACCGCAAACCTACAGCCTCTCTGACCATTCTGCCCATCAGCTGCAGCCCTCTTCTCCCGCCCCAAGGATATTTCAGGGGCTGGCCCCGTGGCCGAGTGGTGAAGTTCGCGTGCTCCACTGCAGGAGGCCCAGTGTTTCGTTGGTTCGCAATCCTGGGCGCAGACATGGCACTGCTCATCAAACCACACTGAGGCAGCGTCCCACATGCCACAACTAGAAGGACCCACAATGAAGAATATATAACTATGTACTGGGGGGGCTTTGGGGAGAAAAAGGAAAAAAATAAAATCTTTAAAAAAAAAACCCAAATATTATAAAGAATATTCCAGGGGGCAGCGGTCTCTTCTTTGCTTTATCCATCCTTTGTCTTCCAGCTGCTTCCTAACCGCCAGCAATGTGCTGGAACCTTCCACTCACTAAATGCTGTAACTTGTTGATTCCTTTTCTTAAAGCTTCATTATCATTTTTGAGATCTCAAGAGAGATCGACTACCTTGAACTAGATGCCCAGCAGAGGAAAAATAAGGTTGCTGAATGAGAGCAACAAGCCATCTAAAGAGAACTGAGGAATAAAAAAGGAATTCTTTTTGTCATCTAATAGAACAGACTTATGTGTTGAAGATTTTAAGCTATGACCCTACCCTGAATATCCTGATTAAATGCCCAAGTTCTCCAATTCATTTTCTACATGACACAGAATCAGCAAACGCCTACGAAGGAGCCAGACTGCCTGCATTCAAATCCTAGCTCCGCCACAGTCTAGCTATGACCTCACACAAGTCATTTAATCTCTCTGGGCCTCCATCTCCTCATTGATACACAGGGGTTAATAATACAGTCAGAAGATTGTGTGAAGACTGAGTCTGACGTAAAGTGCTGGGAGCAGCGCCAGGCACACGGCAAACAGCGT